GGTGCCCACTGGGTGTGTCCAAAGGAGGTGGCTAACGTGTAACGACCTCTTCAGGTGGGGGCGAGGGCGGGGGTGTGTCTGTGATCGTGAGGGTCTGCCCGCAGCGCGGTTTTGTATCCCGGAAGAAAAACATTCAGCTCTTCTTTGCCTTCCTACTTCTTACTTACTCGGTCGTGGGTGCTCCGTGGGTGCTCCCTCTTTTGCTTGCTAACACGTGGCGGGGTGTCCACGCCCTTCTCGCCCCCCCGCTCCGGCGGCGGGACGGCGGGGGGCGGCGGCGGGAGGAGATCTGCGAACTGCACCTCGCCGCAGGGCAGCTCTCCGATGAGGAGCCCCTTTGTGAGCTTGAGGACGGGCCGGAGGTGCTTCATCGGCCTGAATGCGTGCACCAGCTGCTTCGCCGCCGACGCCACCTTCTTGACATCCACGCCGCTCGCGTCCGCGACGATCACGGTGCTGATCGCGAGGGTCGTCAAGTCCAAGTTGAACTCTCGTCCGAGCGCGATGCGCGTGCAGCACCTCATGTCGCGGCACCTGAGCGTGTGGGCATCCATGCTGCGCCCAAAGGCGTCGCAAAGGGCCACCGCCCGGGCGCAGACGTCGGCGTCGGTGCGGACGCCGGCGCGGTCGTCGCCGCCGGGGGCGCTGGCGGCGGGATCCCGACGGGTCGCAGAGGTCTGCGTCGAGGCGAGCTGCCGGACGAGCTCCTCTGCGCGGCCGCGGAGCGTCGAGCTCCACTCGAGCCCCGTCTGGGGCGGGGCGGCGCGGCCGGTGCCGGATAGGTGGTAAAAGCGTTGCTTGCAGCAGCTCTGCGAGCGACCGGTGCCCAACTTCTCGGTGACGACGCTCCACTGGTGCGTTTTGCTCGACAAGCAGCGCATCCTCATCGGCCGTCCACAACCTAAAGCCAGACTCCAGGCACGACGGGGAGCCGCCGGCAGCAGCCCGCGGCGACACGCCTGTTACGATGTCGAGCAGCTGATCTTGCGAGAGGCCCGAGACGACGCGGGCCGCCGTGTCGCGACGCCGCATGTTACATGCCTGTCGCACCCCGGCCACTCGCCCTCGACCGCCAACGCGGGAATATTTTTTTGCCGGGTCTCTGCTATTCGTTTCGGAAGAAACCCCCCGGAAGTGCCCGCCGCGAACTCTCGAGAACTCGCTGCTGAATCCCCCTTCCACACCCCAGGGTACAATGGAGACTGAGAATTCGATCGAGCGCGCCATCGCCGCCGCGGAGCGCGACGCCGCTGAGAGCAACCGCGCATCAACCGCGGCTGCGCAGCGAGTGGAACAGCGGGCTCAGCAGCGGACTCTATTCGCCCTTCCTGGCGCTCACATCTTGGCGCCGCCGCAGCGCGCGAGCAAGAGCCAGCGGCCTGTTTACGCAAGTGAGAGCAAGAGCCAGTGGGTGGCATTTGTTGCACAGCTTCCGCACATCCTGGTGGCCGCTGCGATCGGGGTCGCCGCCGTGTTGGAACGCCTCTGCTCGACGGTCCCCGTCGCACCAAGTGCGGGTGTGCTGGACAGCGGCGACACCACATGGATGTTGGTGTGCTCTTCACCGGTACGCAACAGATCCCTGAGCGTCCCTGAACCAGTGGGCGTTCCTAGGTGAGCACGATGGGCGTCTTGCTGATGGTGCCCGCGCTCGGCCTCTTCGAGGTAGGCCTCACTTTTGCTCGCTCGGCCTCACTGCATTCTCCGCCTCCTACTCCGCCGCCGCCCTCACCGCCGCTTCCTTCACTGTCGCACACCGCTGCACCTCAGGCGGGCCTGCTCCGCGCCAAGAATTCGGTCTCCGTGCTGATCCAGTGCTTTGCTGGCGTTGCCGTCCTCACCGTGCTCTGGTTCGTGATCGGATTCTCTCTCTGCTTCTCGCAAGTCGACCGCGGCTTGTTTGGCGCACCGCTCTTAACCTCCCTTGCTATCCCATGGCGCTTTCTCCCCTGACTGCCCGGCTCCTACAGGCGCGCTCAACCACCCGTTCCTGGCTGGCGTTGGCTGGACGGCCTCATTGCCCAACGCGCCCACCATCCCTGGAGTGCTCTTCGCCGCGTTTCAGGGCATGTTTGCCGCCATCACCCCGCTGCTGTGCACGGGCGCCTTTGCGGAGCGGCTTCGCTTTGAGGCTTTCCTCGGCTTCATCGTCGGCTGGCGCGCACACATCCGCGCTCCTCTCTCCGTCACCCTTGGTCTCCAGCACACGGCCGCCACCATCCCGGCAGGACGCTCCTCGTCTACTACCCGCTCTGCCACTGGGTGTGGGGCGGCGGCTGGCTGGCCCGGCTCGGCGTGTGCGACTTTGCGGGCGGCATCGTCATACACACCTCCGCCGGAGTCGCCTCGCTCGTGACGGCGCTTCGGCTCGGTCCGCGCGTGGGCTTTGCCGGCCTTGCCTCCCACTCGCTCGCTCCTCACAATTTGCCGATGGCCGCCACGGGCGCCGGGCTGCTGTGGGTTGGCTGGTTCGCCTTCAACGGGGGCAGCGCGCTCGCGGTGGGCAGCCTCGCGGCGAGCGCACTGCTGTCCACGCACGTCGCCGGCGCGGGCGGCGCGCTGGTGTGGCTCGCCCTCGATTGGGGCCACGCAGGCCGCCCGACCTTTGTCGGCTGCATCAACGGCGCCCTCTCAGGGCTCGCCGGCGTGACGCCCGCCTCGGGCTACGTGACGCCCTCGGCGGGGCTCGTGGTCGGGCTGGTCTGCGGCGCCGCCTCGTATGGCGGTGTGCTGCTCTTCAAGGCGCCCATTGCTGCCTCCCTCTCCACACAGCACAGCTGCTCCCCTCTCCACCAGCTCCCTCTCCATGCCTCCCCTCTCTCCTCCCTCAGGAGTATCTCCGCATTGACGATGCGCTCGACGTCACCTCGATCCACGGCGTGACGGGCGTGGTGGGCTCGCTGCTCCTCGGAGTGTACGCCTCGAGCGAGGTCGACCCCCTCTCCTCACACACGGATCACTCGCGGGCACCTTCACTTGGTAGGATGCGGCCGAGTCGAGCCCACACTCCCGACTTATCCCTTGCCTCAGGTCAATCCGGCTGGCCCGGACGGCTCGCTCGACCAGCTAAGGCTGCAGGCGCTCGGCGTGGCGGTGGCTATTGCGTGGTCCGGCGCGGGCACGTGGCTCGTGATGGCCGCCATCGAGCGCACGCTCGGCAGCGCGCGCACAACTGAGGCACAGAGCCAAAGCCCCCCCCCCCCCCCCCTTTGCCAGCACTCGCTGCCCCCAAAGCCCTCTCGTTACTAGGCTGAGGAGCTGGACGGGCTCGACCGCTCGCAGCACGCAGAGAGTTCGTACCTCGACCTCGCCGCCTTTGTCAAGCACGCAACGCCCACCACCGACGAGCTGTTTGAAGGGGCCAATCTTGCGCTGGGCGACGTCTCGCCCGCGGCGAAGCGGAGGAGCGGCCAGAGCCTCTCGGCGCGCCTGGCCTCAGAGATCGCCGAGGCGGCGATGGTGTGACTCGCGTCGGTGCTCGGGGGGGCACGCAGTATCCGACTCACAAGAAGCGCGGAGAGGCCTGTCTCTGCTGTGCGCCTGTGCGCTGTGGTGTGTTCTCTATGTGTACAGTCGACCGTGGTGGTGAAACTCTCTCGACAAGAAAAACGGCTTCCTCGACGCTTCCGCTGCCAAGACGTCAATCTCCCTGTGCCGGGTCGAGAACCGTTGCTCAGAGAGAACGTGTGGACACAAATACCTACATGGTTGGGTTCAGTCTTCAGTCTGTGGTCTGCTGCACGTCGGCGTTTCATTTTTACCTCTGCAGAGGGGGAGATCTTTCCCCACTCAGCTCGGGAACGACGGCTCGACCTCCACCACGTCGAACTGGACGTCGTCGCGCACAAGCCGGTGGGTGACGCCGGTGGGGTGCAGGTACGTGAGGGGAGGATATAGGCACTCCTGCTCGTGCGGAAACGCGGAGAAGTCGCTGATGTCCACGCCCATGTTCATAAATGTGCTGCTCTTGATGCGGAAGAGCAAGGCCTTCTCGCCCGCGGCGCACGCGTAGCGAGCCGCGACCTCCAGCCGAGAGGTCGTGCTGCAGCAGGCAAACTCAGTCCCGCCGAGCGCGAGAAAGCGAGGCGAACAAATCATGTCCCCGAATGCCCGGGCCACCGCTTGCAGCGCAGACAGCGGCGCGCTGCCTCTCCCAGCACCTGTGCGCTCCCCGTGCCCCTCGCCCACGCTCTGGTCGACTGAGCCAAGGTACGAGCTCTTGCTGACACCAGTTGCCCGCCCCTCCTCCAAACCGGAGCCCTCCTGTTGGCTCTCCTCGTCACCTCCCTCCTCGTCTCGCCGCGCCTGCCGCGACGCCTGCCGCAGCGTCTCCAGGCTGAGCTCGCCAGCCACCGCCAATTCCTCCATCTTCTTGCACTCGGGGTCGACCGTCGTCGCTGCGGCGACGGCGCGCATCCGCTTCAACGCCTCGTAGATGAAGGCCATCGTCACGGGCTGCGGGTGGGGCGCCGCCAGCTGCGGGGGCTCGAGCGGGAGGGGGTTGCCCGCCTCGTCCTTGCGGCAGGGGCTGAGCTTCAGGTTGCGCATCGGGCCGTTGAGAGCGCGAAACGCGGCGGTCGAATACAGACGCAAAGCGACGACGTGCGCTTCCTCAAGCCGCGCCCTGCGAGCCACCGGCAGCGCGACAAAGTCGGCGAGCCGCATGCCCCTACGGCTGCGGAGGCTGGAGCCGTCCGGGGCTCGGTCGCGCCGCCAGCCGTTGTGGAATTGCGCGTTACTGAGCCGGCCGGCGCGTCGAGGATGTAGCGCAGGTTCTCGAGCACCTCCGGGTCGCCCAGCGCCTCGGCCTCCGCGACGATGGCGGCGGTGCCCGCAGCCATGCGCTCTCGCAGGTACGCCTCCTCGTAGCCGATGATCCCGTAGAGCCCCGTTGCCGCCTCCTCGGGCTGGCCGGTGACGAGCTCCTTAGCCGAGCCTGCAAATCTGTCGGAGACTCGCTCTGAAGCGCCAGCCAGCAGCCCGTCGACGCTCGTTGCGCCGCAGCGCGCGAACGCTGCGAGGTAGCGGCCGCCGGGGACGGCCTTGCACCCCGCGCTTTTGAGCAGCAGCGCCCCCGAGACGCAGGCAAGAAGCAGGCTGGCGCAGCCCTGGCCGAAGAGCATCCAAGCGAAGATGGGCGCGTTTTCCGGCCGAATTGCGTGCAGGTACGCGCTACAGACCTTGCCGTGAAATGGATAATAGACGTTCTTGCCGCCCAGACGAAACGATTCGTACTCGTCTCTCTGACCGATGAGCTGGTGGCACTCGCTGACGAAGACCTTATGCCAAACGATAATTTCTCCCACCGGGTTCAGGTCTTTTTCTTCCCCGCTGTAGGTCAGACTCCAGCTCGCAAGGAGCCAGGCGCAGTAGATGACACCACTCGCGCAGCCCAAGAGAAGCCAGACGCGCCGCAACGCTCTCGACTTGACCCACGCCGCACAGGCGACGTCCTGCTGAGAGAGAGGGAGGGCGACCGGGAGGACAGCCAAGGCGGGCAGCCAGGGCAGAAGAGGGACGGCCAAGAGGAGCACAGTACGCGCGAGCCACCTCGTCTGGCGAACGGCCTTGCCCGCCTCCGCTCCGTGGAAGCGGTTTCGGTTCTTGTCCACCTCGATCGCGTCCAAGGCGCGTTCCAGCTCCTGCAGCACCGCTGCACGTCTGTGGCCCAATGCTGCTCTACAGACAACGACCGCAGGCAAGAGCACTGCCGCCCAGATCGGCAGCAGCCATAGAACCAGCCATGCGAAATCGGATGTTCGCCAACGGGGCGATGTGACTCTCCAATCCGCATCCAACACCCGGACCGCGGCGACAGTCATATCCAAGTCGGGTGATACAAGGTGCTTCGCTGCCCCAATCAGCAGGTAGTCCACCGCTTTAGCTGAAGGGTAGCACAGCAGGTAGAACAGGTTCCACCATTGGTCGCCCTCCACCTCACCGGGCAGGGCTCTTTTTATCATGGTATCGCACATTTTGTGGAGCAGCGATGGAGAGCTGGTAAAGTCTAGGAGCGTGACAGAGACGACCGCTGTCGTGACATTCGTGGCGACCAGGCTAGCAGAGATGTTGTCGCCAACCAGCTCAGTTCCCAGAGGCGCCGTCACAAGGTCGTCTTTGCTGGTCTGGCGCTTCTCGTTGTGCAGGTCGCAGCCCGTGCTTGAGGTCACGCGTACAAAGGGGGGGAATGTTGCCAAAAGGTCACCAGCGATCGTGCTTCGGATGGCTGCAGCATCGATCTCGCCATGTTTGCTGTACCTCTCCCTGGCCAGGACGATGCACATGGAGAGAACCTCCTTGACTTGCTGGCGCGGCGCCGGTGGCGGAGACGGAGCCTGGGGTGTCGACGGGCCCCCGGGGGCGACGGGGGTGCTCTCCGGCCGCGGCGGCCGAAAACGGGGGTCGGTATATACGGTATTAATGAAGTGATCCACTTGATCCAAGGGTGCCATTGTGCTCTACTACAAAAGTTGTGTAAGATGCCCAAGTCTCAGACGCTGGATCCTTAGCAGAGCTGAGTTCTGACGGTGTGAACACGAGCAACCGGAGTGACGACCGGGACCGGGCCGCACGCCGGGAGTGCCCCGACTAGCAGTGGCGGGCGCGGACGAGCGAATGAGAGGTCGCTATCTGTGGGAGATGTGTTATTAGAGACTAGGGCTGCCTATCTCTCACTGAAAGGGACCTCTCATTCGCTCGTCCGCACCCGTCACAGCTCACGGAGTGCTCCGCGTGCCGCACCGGCCGCCGCCGGCCGCCGGCCGCTCACGGTAACGGAACAGTCTTACTACTCCGCAACGTTGAGCTGGATCAAACTGAATAGTGCTCCTGAAAGCCCTCTCTATGGGCTCTGCCACACAGTAGCAGCTCACGACTAGCCGCTGTTGTGGCTGTATTTGTAGCCATTTTTAGGCTTCAACTGGTCCCAAAATAGTAGCAACACCTCATGAAAATCAGTCAAAAAAGCCCGAAAAAATCGGCGCCTGCGGCGGGCTACCTGGGGCGCCGCCCCAGACCCCCTTGACTGGGGGGACCCCCCGCGAGAGCACCCCCGTCGCCCCCGGGGGCCCGTCGACACCCCAGGAGACGGAGGCGCCTCGAGAGTGAGGTGCTCTTGCCCGAGTCCGGACCAAGCAACGCCGTTCCGGTCCCTGTAGGTGGGCCGGGCTTGCGGGACTGGGGAAGGAGGCAGCGGTGGAACGGCGCTCACCGGGCCGGCAATCAGAGCGAGCAGCATGTCCTGCCGAATGTCCTGCCGAAGGAGGCGTGCCGCTTGGCAGTCGTACGTCCTTCAACTTTTTCCTATCGCTCAGTTGGCAGCGCTTCCCGCCCTTGAGCACTTGAGCACTTGATAGGGTCGATTCCGCATGGTACGGGACCCCTCGATCGTCTCTGTAGAGCTCTACAGCCTCTATCCTCATACACACAGCTCATTAGAGAGCCGCTCTACTCGAGCGAGTACATCTGTACAGCTCTATACAGCGTCGCTCTACACTCTCTCTATCTGCCTACATACTTACTCACGCCGCCACGGATGAGTCTTGCACGTTCTTCTTTCACCCCATCCATTTGCGCATCTCGATCGAGCCGACTCATTCATACTAACTCTCTAACTCTCTCTTACTAACGGGATAACTAACAAACAGCATATCACGAAGTTCCCTTAGGGCTGAATAAGAAAATCGAGCGACAGCGTCCGTGTCACACCGCCTCTTGCATCTTGCACCGCCGAAGTCGAGGGTGAAGCATGGCTCGCGGCTCCATCTTCAAGGCCAGCCTGTCTCCCGAGCAACTCGAGGTCGAGCAGCGGCTGCGAACCCTCGCGCTGATGCTCGTCGGCCTCGCCGTGATCGCTTGTGGGCTCTATTACCTCGAGGGAATCCTCATTCCGCTCGTGCTCGCGCTCGCCCTGACTTACACGCTCCAGCCGATGATCGACCTGCTCTCCAAGCGTCCGCTGCACCTCTGCGGTCGCAAGTTCTTCGCGCAGCAGCCGGCCGCGATCAGAGCGGCGCGGCCGATGCTGCGTCCCTTCTACGAGCTGGTCTACCTCGCAAAGCTGCCCTGGTGGCTCGCGACGTGCATCGCCGTCTCGGTCGCGGTGCCGGCCGGGCGCACCTGCGGCGAGATACACCGGGATGAGCCGAGATTATCCGAGATTAGGTCGCCGTGCTCGTGCTGGTGGGCCTCGGCTTCCTGGTGGCCGACTCGGTGCAGGAGTTTGCCGCGGAGGCGGACGCGTGCGCGGGTCGAGTCTCGAGAGGAGGCGGAGATCGAGAGGAGCCGAGACTGCGCCGAGATTAGGCGGACGCGTACGCGAAGCGGATCGAGGACCTGACGGCGGGAGCTCTCAACTACATGGACGAGGAGAGCTCCTCCTCTTCCAGCTGTGCCCTAGTAGCACTAGTCAAGCAACCTGAACTGACTGATGAAAGTAGGTGAGCTCCTCCTTCCAGCTGTACCTCAACGTGTCGGTCGTCGTGCCCGCAAACGCAACTTCGGTCGAGGTGCCGCGCGAGAGAAGGGGGAGAGGGTCGTAGCTACGTCGCCGCTCACAGGAGAGGTGGGTGGGTGGGAAGTGGCAACCGCCGTCGCTGCCCTGATGTGTATCGCTGTGACCCCGTGGCCTCAGGTGGCGGCAGTGTCGCACCGCAAGCGAATCGAGCAGATTGCCAAGAAGATCCCGGCGGCCGACCTGTCCATGTCATCACCTCGGTCCTCGAGGCAGAGCTCCAAGTGATCTAAAAGCAATTAGGTGACGGACTCAGCTCACCACGGTGGGTCCTCGAGTCAGAGCTGTCATGTGAATGGAAACGAACCACAACCACAGGTGACGGACCTGATCACCACCGTCCTCGAGACGCTCTTCACCCTCATGTCCGACCTCGCCACCGCGCGCCCCTCCTCGCGCCATCTCGCCGACCATGCCTCCCTCCCACGACTCACAAGACCCATCGACCCTGCACAGGTGCTGCTTTTCGCCGTCTACCTCCTCGTCGGATCGGCGACCTCCGCAGCGGACGAGGCGCGCCCAAGTGCATGTCCTAGCTCCTCACACCTCTCTCTTCCTCTGCTCAGGCGCCGTCCGCAGCAGACGACGACTTCGAGACCCTCCCGGACGAGGCCACTGCCCGCCTTGGGATGTGGAGAGAGGGGGAGAGAGTCAGAGAGCCCACCCTCTCGCCAACACCACACGAAGACCACACCGGAGCGTGCCCCACAGGTCACGACAGCTGCGCCCGACGAGGAGGCGCGCGGCGAGCAGGGCGGCGCGAGCGGCGCCACGCCGCCGAGCGGTGTGCGCAAGGGCCCGCGCGCCAAGAAGGGGGCGGCGAGCAGAGCCATCCAGGCGTACATCAGGGCGAAGGCGAGCCGGCTCTTACTTCTGGAGAGACTGCCTTCGAGAGTAGACGTGGCTCCCCTTCTGCGACCCACCGCATGCACTCACATTTCCGAGGTTGCCACCTGCAGGCTGGCCGAGGTTGAGCGAGCTTGTCCGAGATTGCGCGAGAGTCGTCCCTCCCCCCCCGCCCGCCCGCTGCCAACAGGTGAGTGTCTCATTCTTCGTCGGCGTCGTGACCGCCGCCGCCCTCGCCGCCATCGGCGCTCTCTCTCTCTCTCTCTCTCTCTCTCTCTCTCTCTCTCTCTCTCTCTCTCTCTCTCTCTCTCTCTCTCTCTCTCTCTCTCTCTCTCTCTCTCTCTCTCTCTCTCTCTCTCTCTCTCTCTCTCTCGGCGAGGGGGACGCCGAGATTGTCCGAGATTAGGACTCGAGCTCTGGCTCGTCTTTGCCATCCTCGGCGCGTGGCCCCGCCCTTCCGCCCGCCATCGCCCGAGAGGTCGCCACCCGACGCCACGCCCTGAGAGACACAGGCTTCTGGCTCAACTTCGTGCCCGTCATCGGGACGGTCTTCGCCATCGCCCTTCCAATGTGCCCGCCGCCCGCCTCTCGCCCAGCTGCTCTCGCCCCCGCCCGAGCGCCGGCCCGTGAAGGGCGCCTCTTCTTCACAGCTGCTCTTCACAGCTGCAGCCGAGTGTGTGAGCAGGCCCATCGTCTTGCTCGACCCCGACTTCAACCTCGCCCACGTCCTCGCCCCTCCGCTCCCTCCCGACGAAATCAGCCGAGATCGGCCGAGATCACGCGAGGCCAACCCCCCGAGTGTAGGTGCTCGTCGCGTTCCTCGTCCCCGGCGCGGCGCACGCACTCGCGGGCAGCCCCTCCTCGCCCCGTGCCGGGATCGTCCGAGATCGCCCGAGCTCACCCGAGATCGGCCGGCGGGATGCACAGGCAACGTGCTCGAGCCGTACCTGTTTGGAAAGACGCTCGACTTGTCGCCGGTCGTGATCCTCTGCTCGCTGATGGTGTGGGCCGCGCTGTGGGGCATCACCGGCATGGTGCACTGTCCCCCCCGGCGGTAGTACTGGTAGGCAGGAGCAGGACAGCGACTCTTCTCGCAAAGAAGCCACCCCCGTATCCCGACGCCAGGTGCTGGCGGTGCCGATCACCGCCGTCCTCCGGATCAAGCTCGAGCACATCGACTCGCACATGACGAGGCGTCCACTCGGGCTCTCTCGCTCGCTCTCTCTCCCCCCTCCCCCCCCCCCTTCTCTCGCTGCTCCGAAGCTCCTCCCCCGACCCCTAGCTCCGGCCTCTCCACTCTGCCTCAACCCACACGCACATGCCGGTGCGATGGCCCTTGCCCTCCTGACCTCCGTCGACACCTCCCACCCCAGGTACCTCGCCGGCGTCCTCGCCGGCACCTCAAAGTCGCTCATCTTCGCCGAGACCGCGCCCGACGGCGAGGACAAAGAGAAGCAGGATGGCGACGGCGGCGGCAGTGACAACGGCGGGGGCGGCCCGCTCCCTCCACGCGGGGCACGGCCCCTCTGCGCCGATGTGGAGGCCGTCGCCGAGAGGAGCTCGCAGAACGCCGTCTCCTCCGTTTGGCGCGGCGAAGAGCCGTACCAGCCCTACGCCGAGTCGCAAGGTCGCTCCGAGCCACGCCGCCGGGCGCAGGTCCATCCGGCCGTCGAGGGCTAACTCTTGGTACCGGGGGTCTCGCGCGTGACGGACCACTCTTCTCGCAAATATCGATCCGCGCACAGTCAGGCCAATATGTCTTATGTGGACAGCGCGAGAGTGCCTCTGCCATCTGTGCATCTCGCTTCTTTCTCGCTAAGTCCTTTTTTTGACCCTCCCTAAAAAGGGGTCGCCTCTCGCCTAACACATTCTAGTATACACAAAAACACACACGCGGCGCCCCGAGCCCGACGAGCGACATGCACGACAACATGAACGATGAACATCTCTTCTCTGCGATCTGGGTCCACTTCGTCCCCGCTACGCGTCCAGATCTGTCTCCACGCGTCTCCCGCATCTCGCCGTTCCGCTAAATTATTACCATCCGTTTCCGCCCGCCCATCTCATCCAAAAATACCGCATCGCCATCGGCCTCGAGCTCCACCTCACGCCTCGAGGACCGTGATGCAGTCCGGCGGCACCCCGCTCGAAGTGAGCATCGCCTTGAGGGCGCCGTTGAAGGACGCCGGCCCCGAGACAACCACTCGGCATCGACCCAGCGCCTGCGACACATGAGACAACGGGCACACGTGAGGCACGCCGGTCGAACCCCCCCCCCCCCCCCCCTTCCCTTCCCTCCCCCTCCCCGGCCGACCCTCTGCGCCGGGGCACCTGCAGCGGCGCCAGCTCTGCACGCAGCAGCTCCTGCGTCACGCGGCCCTCGACAAGCCTCACCTTGTCGAGCGCCGCCAGCTCCACGAGCCCGGCGGCCGGCTCGCCCCCCGCCGCCGCCTCGGCCGCCGTGAACGGCGGCTCCGGCTGGCCCTCCGCCGGCGGCGAGACTGCGAGCACGCAGCGCTGCAGCCGCGCGCGGCCGACGCCCGCGGAGCACCACTTTGCGATCTCGGGCGCCATCAGCACGTCGTCGCGCCGGCACGCGTAGATGAGGCGGACGGGCGACTTGAGCGGCGGGGCGGCGGGGCGGCGGGAGCGGCCCGGCGGCCGGAAGCAGCTCGCAGGGTCTGCATGGCGCAGCACGCTCGCCTACCGAGGGACATGTCCCGGACCTGTCGTGGGGGACGTGTCCTGGACGGGTCGGAGTGACACGGCAGCGCGCTCGCCGCGACGGCGATGCCGGTGCCGGCGAGGAGGAGGAGGACGCCGCTGTGTCCGAGCGACGCCTCGTCGAGCGCGCTGCTGTCCGGCACCTGCGGGGGGGTGGGGTGGGGGCGGCCAGGGAAGTGTCAGAGAAGGGTCCTCTCGCGACGGCTCGTTCAGGTGCGGCGTCGGTCGAGCGCCAGCGAAGGGACGTCGAGCGTCTGCATCGGCTGCGAGAGGTGCACCGCACTGCCGAGCGGCAACTCGCGCAGCCAGCCCGTCGCGACGCCCGGCCGGTACGTCTTGATGAGGATGTCGCACCTGTGGTGGGGAGGGAGGGGGGGGGGAGGGGGGTCCAGATCACCACCCACCCAGGAGCTGTCGCCCTGGGCCGGCCGGGCGGGAGGTGCTTGAGGAGGAGGGGAGAGGTCGCACCGCCCCTTCTCCCAGTCCATCCAGGTGCTGACCGGCGTGTAGTCCCTCTCCACCCACGGCAGCGGCCCCTCCGCGTTCGGCCCCACCCGCGCCAGCATCGTCACGTGCCACGTCACGTGCCGCAACTGCGGGGAGAGGTCCGAGAAGGCTCAGGGGAGGGGAGGCACCGTCCGGGTGCACGCCGCCGCTGGTGCAGCGCCTCGGCGCCGGCGCTCTTGCCGAGCGGCGTGCCGCGCGTGCGGTCCGAGGACGAGAAGCGGTACAGCGCGCTGTGCCTCGAGACGGGTGTCGCGCTGGCGAGCCTCCACAGCGCGTACCCGTCGATGGGCCGCTCGACCTAGAGGTACAGGCTCCGGGAGGGGCTCCGGAGGAGGCTCCGAGCACGCCTCCGCAGCGCGTGCCCCTCGCCCACGCCTCCTGCGCGGCGCCGACAGACGCACTCCTCGCCGCGTCCACCCGGCAGTCGGCAATGTGTCTGCTGGCGTGCTCGAGCAGCTCCTTGTCTTCCGGGTCGGAGAGAGCGCGCTCCGCGAGCCTACACCTCGCCCGGCCGTCGGCTCAGTGATGGACGGGTCCCGCCAGGCGCGGGGAGCGGCCGCAATTCCGGCGAGCCGCTGCAGCTCGTCGATCTCGCGCACCCTGCCCATCTTGCCGAGAGTGGTAGCGAGGTCCATGATCTCGTGCGGCTCGTCGGGCGAAGCGGCCTGCACCCCGTGGGCCCTCGTGTCACCTCTCGCGACCTTTGTTGACCTCACGTGACCTCGGGTGGCCTCGGTCGATCTCGGTCGATCTCGGTTGATCTCGGTGCGGGTCGCCTGCAGCTCCCTCCGGTGCTCGAGGGCAGCCTCCCACTGTCCTGCCGCCTCCTCCAGCTCCGCGAGCTCGAGCAGCAAGTCGAGCCTATTCTCGGCCGATCTCGACCAATCTCGAGTGATCTCCTCCAACTCCGCGGCCGCTCGAACAGCGGCTCGAACCGCTTCGACTCGTCCGCGCTCGCCGCGACCTGCTCCGCCAAGCCCTGCATCGCGCCGTTCCACCTCTTCTCTTCGCGCGCCTGAGCAGAGAGAAGAGGACCCGGGCGAGGGTGGGGGCAAGGCTCCGAACGGTCGGTACGGGCCGCCCACGCGTCTCGTCGCGCGCCTGCTGCCTCGCCCGCACCTGCCGCGCCTCCTTGAGCCGCTGCCGCAGCGCCGGGTCGTCCAGGTTGGGCGTGGCGCCCGTGGCGGCCGCGACGAGCGCCGCCGTCTTTTCGACCTGCGGGGGACGTCGTGGACGCGTCGTGGACATGTCGCAGACGTGTCGTGGGCGAGCGCCGCCCGCTTTTCGACCTTGTCGAGTCGCGATTGCAGCACCTCCGTCCCTCGCCTGGCGACGGTGGCGACGTCGGGCTCACACCTCGGCACACCTCGGCACATCTCGGCACATCCCGGCTCAGCTCGGCTCATCCCGGCTCATCTCGCGCCTGACCACGATAGCGTTTGGCGCCTCGTCGCACGCGCCGAGGCAGCCGTCCGCCTGCGGGACATGTCACGGACATGTCATGGACAGGTCGCGCAGAGGCGACGGCCGAGGTGGCCGTCTGCCGCGCTGACGGAGAGGCACAGCAAGCCGGCGCCCAGCTCCTCTATCTCGAGAAGGACCGCCTAGAGGGGTGGGCGAGAGGCTGCGCCTCGGAGGGCCCCCACCCCCACCTCCCCGATCCGAGGAGGCGGCTCCTCGGAGCCAGCCCGACGGCAGGCGCCCGCCTGGCACACCTGCCGCGAGGAAAGTTCCGAGAAGCGTCAGCCTCTCCGGTCCGCCGGCGGGAGCCCGGACAGGGCTCGGCACACAGCACGCACCTGGATCTCAACCTCGGGCTACATCTCTACCTAGACCTCGGCTACATCTCTACCTAGACCTCGGCTAGACCTCGGCTAGACCTCACCTACATCTCGGCTAGACCTCACCTACATCTCGGCTAGACCTCACCTACATCTCGGCTAGATCTCGGCTAGGTCTCGGCTGGATCTCGGGCGCCTGGATCTCGACCTCGGGCTGTGCCGGCTGGTGCCCTGGCGGAGCAGGCAACCTACGCGAAGGAAGGGTCCAGCAAGGCTCCGGAGAAAGGCGCGGGGGTCGGTCTGCGGCGGGGGACGGCGGCCAGCACTCCACCGCCCCGTCTTCCCTCGGCGGGTCGGATGCGGTGATCTGGTAGTGGACGCCTACGGGAGTCTCCGAGAGGGCTCCGAGAAGGTTCCGGCAAGGCTCGGGTCGCGGTCGAGCAGTGGCCCGCCTAGGAGGAAGCTTCCGAGAAGCTTCCGGCAAAGCTGTGGGTGGGTGGCGGTCTGAGAGCGGGAGGCTGGCGGCGGTTGCCGAGGTGCTCCACCACAAAGGCTCCACCCGGACGCACGCCGGGCGGGACGCGAATCGTGTACACGGCGTGCTGCTGCGGCGTCTCCTGTCGCTGCTCTGGCTGCTGCTGCTGCTGCTGCTGCTGCTGCTGCTGCTGCTGCTGCTGCTGCTGCTGCTGCTGCTGCTGCCGCTGCTGCTGCTGCTGCCGCTGCTGCTGCTGCTGCTGCTGCTGCTGCTGCTGCTGCGGCTGCGGCTGCGGCTGCGGCTGCGGCTGCTGCGGCTGCTGCGGCTGCTGCGGCTGCTGCGGCTGCTGCGGCGACGGCGGCGGCGGCGGAGTCTCCTGTCGCTGCCGCTTGGCCTGCTGCTGCCGCTGCTGCTGCTGCTGCTGCTGCTGCTGCTGCAACTGCTGCTGCTGCAACTGCTGCTGCTGCAATCGTACAATCTCCTCCATCGACCTCCCCGCTGGCGCCTGTTGAAGTTGCTGTTGAAGTTGCTGGCACTCTGTGGCAAATGCGTCGTACTCGTGATTTTGCCGCTGTTGCTGACTCGGCGACTGATTGGCGCCTACGGCAGGAGCATGCCAAGCTTAAGACGCAAGAGCTCCTTCTTAAGAGAAGAGCAGCACACCGCGGCGCCTAGCTTAAGATGGCCAGGAGCGCCACGAGTCGAGGCAGCAGCAGCGGCGGTGGCAGCAGGCGAAGCCGATGCCGTAGTGATGGCAGTGTTGTCAATCTGACCGACGGACTGCTGCATGCGAGGGAGGATGTCCCTGCGACGACGTCCGCCCGCCCTGTCGACGTGTGTTGTATCTTCAGGAAAAAGCCGCGGCTGGCGGCGAAGCCTTCAAGAGGGTGCTCGCTCCGAGCAGTGGGTTTTATGTTTTATTTCTTTCTTTCTGTCTCGCCGGACCTAGGGGCCATTCAGGTGGCCCTCTCTCGCCCCTCGCCGGCGGCCGGCGGCCTGTCAGGCGGCGCCGAGACCGACGCCGGCGCGGCCGCTGCAAAAGCAGCAGTGTTGCGGGCGCCGGACGTTGGTCGTTGCCGCCTTCCACAAAAGAAAACAACGCCGAAAAAACCAACTCTGTCTCACAGCCCGTTTGAGAATCGTTTCAACGTTAGCACTCCTCATAGACATAGACTAATCATAGACGCGAGCACGGCGACAGCGGACAGGCGGGCAATGGCAAGACCCCATGTCATCGCGCCACCACCCTTGGCAGCACAAAGCCGCGCCAGATATCCGCCAGCTCTGGGGCCGCTCCCTCGCGGCTGTCGAAGCGATCCTCGTCCCAAGCGATCAGGTAGCCCAGCAGCATCACCTCGACCGCCCGCTTGCGAGCTGCCGTTGAGAAGAGCTCGTGAGACTGCGGCGACCACTCCGCCGCCTTGAGGATGAGCCTGCCCACCTCCACCGCCTCGGCCGCTGGCTGCAGGTTGGCCGGCCTGAGGGAGGGCAGAGGTGTGTCAAAAGGAGGCTCCGGCGAGTCGGGGAGAGACCATTGCATAGCGCGCCTCAGTGCGAGTGCCTTGGCCTCGTCCGCCACGCGCACGCCGAAGCGGGCCGTCGAAGCGCTTGCGGAGACGACGACGCCGACCTTGCCGTTCATCGAGGGCCGCGAGACGAGAGAGCGGATCTCGACTGTGGAACCGACTGCCGCAGCGGTCGGACCCGACTCGCTCCACGAGCAGAGGACGCGCGCCCGCTCGAGGGCAGAAGGCTCGCCGGCGAGCGGGTCAGCGCCGCCGCGCAGCAGCGCCCGCGCCCGCTCGAAGGTGAGCGCCTGCGGAAGAGGGGCAATGGGCGTGAGGACAGCGCGCGCGCCTTCGGCCGCTAGTCTCGGGGCACGCCTCGAGGTGCTGGAGCGGCGTCCAGCCGCGGCTGGCGACCAGCCAAGCGGCGAGGTCGTCGTGGACTTCTTCGGTTGCAACCTCCTCGGGCGTGCCGTAGCGCGTAGCGGCGCGGGAGGCGCCGAAGGAGGAGAGGAGCTTGGCGACCTCGAGGTGGCCCTGCGCGCACGCAACGAACAGCGGTGTGGCGCCATCCTGCTTGGCTTGGTCGACCGCTGCGCCGGCCTCGAGAAGCAGCCGAACGCACTCGAGCTGGCCCTCCTGGCACGCCATGAACAGCGGCGTGGGACCATCGTTTATCCCTTGGTCGATGTCAGCGCCAGCGTCGCGCAGCAGCTGGGCGCACTCGAGGTGGCCGTTCTTGCAAGCCATGAGCAGCGGCGTGGCGCCATCCCGCTTGGCTCGGTTGACCGCCGCGCTGGCCTCGAGAAGCAGCTGAACGCACTCGAGGCGGCCCTTCTGGCACGCAATGAACAGCGGCGTGGCGCCGCTCTCCTCGGCCTGGTTGATGTCAGCGCCAGCGTCGCGCAGCAGCTGGGCGCACTCGAGGTGGCCGTTCTGGCACGCGATGTACAGCGGCGTGGTGCCATCATCAATCGCTTGGTTGATGTCAGCGCCAGCGTCGCGCAGCAGCCGGACGCACTCGAGCTGGCCGCTCTGGCAGCGGCGCGGCGCCGCCGTCCTTGGCTTGGTTGACCGCCGCGCCAGCCTCGAGAAGCAGCTGCACGCACTCAAGCTGGCCTCTCTCGCACGCGATGTACAGCGGCGTGGAGCCGCTGATGCGGGCTTTGTTGACCGCCGCGCTCGACTCGAGAAGCAGCCGGGCGATCTCGAGGCGGCCCTTCTGGCACGCGACGTACAGCGGCGTGGAGCCGTCGTGGCGGGCTTGGCTTACCGTTGCGCCAGCCTCGAGGAGCAGCCGGGCGATTTCGACGTGGCCGTAATGGCACGCGAGGAGCAGCGGCGTGGCGCCATCCGCCGCGGCTTGGTTGACCGCCGCGCTCGCCTCGAGCAGCAGCCGGACGCACTGGTCATGGCCCTGCAGGCTCGCGATGTACAGCGGCGTGCGGCCTTCAGAATCCGCTTGGTTGACCGCCGCGCCAGCGTCGCGGAGCAGCCGGGCGACCTCGAGGTGGCCTCTCCCGCACGCGATGTGCAGCGCGGTCGCGCCGCCGCCAGTCGTTCCCCCGACGCTCGCGCCGCCTTCGAGCAGCAGCCGCGCCGCCTCGGCCTGCCCGTGCCGAGCGGCCCAGGTGAGCAGCGTGTCCTGCTTCTCGGTGTCGTGCCGCGCGTCGAGCTGGGCCGCGAGCGACGTGCCGCTCGTCCCCTGCCTGGAGAGGAAGGCGCGCAGCCAGGCCAGGTCGCCCCGAGCCGTCGGCGAGGTGGGCGCCGAGAAAGAAGAATTTTCCCAGTTCGCAGGAGTGCTTTCGGCTCCCTTACGCTTCCACGTGAATACAGCCAAAGCCCCTCCTTCTCGCCGCCGTGATGCCGCGGCCTCGGTCCGGCTCGCCAGCGCCGTCGTCCGGGCCCACGGCCGGCTCGCCATCTCGATTTCCACTCGCCCGACGCGCTCGGTCTCTGCTGACGGCTGCCGCAAGAGCGGCTGGCTCACGCTAGGGCTCACGACAGCGTCTTGCCGGTTGTCGGATGGGAGAGTAGGACGTCTGCGCAGTGTAACTGTGTACGTGAGATCGGTCTTGGTAACAAGCACACGGTCCGGGTCTATCGAAGCGATGCACTCGTTTCCGTTGCCCTTCGAGCTCAGCGCGCCCAAACAGGAAGAGCCGTCCGGCAAGAAGATCTCGGATAGGGAGCGAGAACCGTTAGAGGTGCTCCGAGAGGTATCAAGACTCCGTCATGACGCGGTAAGATCACCCCAACAATGACCGCGCAGATGTCGGATCTCGTTGAGATATCTTCAATCTGCTCTTCCCGCGAGCCGGCACAGCACGCAGAGAGTCGCAGAAAGGCTACGAGTGCTCGACGAGTTTTGAGACCTGCGCGGTCAAACCTGGGGGGAACTGACCGCACCATGACGGACGTCCGAAACCTGCGCGAGCACCTTTGACGGTTCTCGCTCCCTATCGAGCTCTTCTTGCCGGACGGCTCTTCCTGTGTGCCGGCACAGAGCTCCGTGCAAGCCGTCCAACGTGATCGTGACGAGTGTATCGCTTTGCTGACGGATCGACCGTACTTGTTATCAAGACTGATATGACGTACACAGTGAGTGACACATCAGACGACACATGTTCTCTCACCCGGCGGGCCGCAAAACGCTCTCACACGAAGCCCCGCACGTTTTGACCGCGCAAGATATAAAGGGTGTCCTAAGGGCTCTGCTCGCAAGGCGCCCGCGTCGCAGACGCGGTACCATTGACAAATCTGCGATATACCCCCACACGAGCAAATAGCCAAAATCCGAATACCGTGCACGAATCCGGCGATGTGCGCCGTGCAAGCCTTCAGCTGGTGCCAAGACATTCGTAAAATTGAAGCCAAGAATCCGCCAAATCCGTGCTTTCGCGCTACCTGAGGGGAAAGCCGCTGATCGAGCCCAGCGTGCCCGCGGCCGCCTCCCGCGCAGCACCGCCGCTGCGGAATCGGATCGAGCCCATGGAGGAGGAGGGCGCAGTCGGCCAGCGCAGCAGGCGGAGTCCCTCCCCGCGCCGGAGCCCCCCTGCAGTCGAGGGAGAGTCCTCGTTGGCGATGAAGGTGGCGACATCGAATCGCGGCCGACACACGTCACGGGAGGAATGGGCGATGAGCGGGAACGATGCGCGCTACGACGCCGACTCCGCCGTGCTCGTGGCCGCAGAAAGCCGCGCTCCAGGAGCACGCCAAGATGCAATGGCTCGCTTGCTTCGATTCAGCTCTCTCGGCAGCAGAAGTGGGGCTGGAGCGGGTGGGGGTGGATGCCGATTGAGGGGGAGCGTCTCCAGCTGCGCCCTGTGGCAGCTGCGCCCTGTGGCAGCTAGTCGAGGGACTTGGTAGTTGTGACCCCCCTGAGTGAGGACAGGAGAGAGAGAGCGTTTTGTGGTGTTGGTGTACGCAATAACGGGACAGGGTGGTTGTTCTCTCTATCTCCTCTTCTAGCTCTTAGCATGAGCTGCGCCCGGTGTCCGACCCCTTTTGCGCAGCAACACCTTAAACTTTTAGGCCCTCCAAATTCGGGTCGGAGCGTAGCGGAGTGGGCCCCGAGTTTGAAAAGGGCGACGAACGCTTGCGTCCTAGCCTCCAACAACGCCTCCCCGGCGCAGAGGGGCCCCCGGAGGGATGCACAACCGCTCCACGCCACGCCGCTTGCGGCGGTCCTCTTCCCAGCTCCGCTGTCGTGCGTTATTCTTGTTTGCGCATGCGCCTGGTCACACTAACATTTGCCGAGCGCTGCTGCACGCTCGCCGCAGTAGTCTCGAGACAGCGCACGCTCGCCGCAGAAGTCTCGAGACAGCGCATTAGCATGTCGACTCCTCCCTCGTCCTTCATCGAAGAAGTGAACACCCAGTACGAGGGTTTGCACCGGGCGTTCGAGGAGCAGGCTCGCCAATACGAGAGCCCGCCAATACGAGAGCCCGACAGCATTGCTGCGCTCGCCCTTGCCCTGAGCCTCTGCGCTTTCGCACTTTCTCTGAGTCTCTGTGTCAAGCTCATGATCACCTCGCCACCCGCAGTTTTGGGGCACAAAGATGGCACTCAAAGACGGCTCGTATACAGTCGACGCTTTGACGAAGGCGTCTATCCACCGCCGCCTGCGTCGCCACCGGCCGCACCGCCGTCCGCGTCGCCGCCAGCCACGCCGCCGCCGCCCTCGCCACCACCGCCCTCGCCAGTCCCTGTGGCCGCTCCTGCGCCGCTGTGCCACGGCCACCGCCGCGCCCGCCCCAGACCGCCACCGCCGCCCCAGACCGCCACCGCCGCCCCAGACCGCCGTCCGCGCACCCACGCAGGCCAAGGGCGAGATGGAGGCCTTCCTCGCCTCCAAGGAGAAGCTGGCGCAGACGCGGGGGTACCTCGCCCGCTCCGACCTCTCCGAGGCGGAGAGGGCCACCCTCGCCATCTTTGAGCGCACCTTCGGTACGCCTCGGGTCAGCGAGACGCATGGCTTCGCGCGTCCCTTCACGCGCTGCGCGTGCGAGCAGGCTGCTACATCATGGAGTCCGAGGCTGCGCTCGCCCTGCGCGAAAAGTGCACCGCGATCGAGGGCACGCTCGAGGACGCGCGCAACAAGATGCGGCTCGGCGCGGTGCTCGACGGCGCCTCGGTCGGAGTCACGCCTGGTCGGCCGGCGCCAGGGCCTTCTCGGACCCGTCCCTGAGCCCTTCTCTCAGGCGCCTTCGTCGAGCTGTCGTCGGTCGGCCTGCGCTCGAAGATGCGCGTCGACGGGAGCGAGGCGACGCGCAAGGCCTGCTGGGAGGGGCTGCGCTCGATTGGCGAGTTCGTGACGGCGAACGGCTTCGTCGAGCTCGTCCGCGCCCGCAACGCGATGGCGCGCGAGTACTCGGGCGGGACGTCCTTCTCGCCCCTCTCTCGGACTCGCGAGAAGAGTCCTTCTGCTGCAGGCGGGATGTCCTTCTGCAGTCGGGGCGAGAAGACTCCGAGAGAAGAGTCGGGACGTCGTTCTGCAGGCGCGCGAGCTCGGCTACGAGGACTTTTACGACTACAAGGTGACGCAGGCGGAGGGGTTCGGCAAGGGCGCGCCTGCCTCGAGGTGCCCAGAGGTCCGCCAGCAGCGGTCCGGTGACGTGCCAGTCTTGCTCCGTGCCACAGGCGCCCTCTTCGGGATGCTCGACACGCTCGAGCAAGGCGAGGGAGAGCCGAGATGGGGCCGAGATGCAGCCTCCGCTACGCGCCCCCTCGAGCGCGAGCGAGGCACACGCGCCACAGTGTGTGGTGGTTGTGGCGGCGGCGGCGGTGGTGGTGGTGGTGGTGGTGTGTGTGTGTGTGGGGGGGGGGGGGGGTATGCGGCGATGTCGAGCAGCACGCAGCCTTTCCGTGAGCCTGCTCTCGCCGGAGCCTCTCGTTCAGGCACCCGCCCGCTGATGGAGGAGGCGCGCGCCAACCTCGCCGCCGCCAAGGGCGAGGCGGCGCTGCTGGCGTACAACTCTGCGTATATGATGGCTGGCTCGGTCACGCGCAGACTCGAGGTGCTCCCCCTTTGTCGGGCTCACTGGTGGTGAGAGCCGCGGCTGCGCCGTCCTCGCTGCTCAGGTCACGCAGAAGCTCGACCCGTACTTCCCCTTCGAGCGTGCCGTCGAGCAGTGGGGCCGCTCCTTCGCCGCGCTGGGCATCTCGTACGAGGGGGCGAGCATGCGGCTCGACTTGCTCGACCGCAAGGGAGACTGCTCCTCCTTGCAGGCTGCTGCCACGGCACGGCACTGTCTTGTGTCACGTCCTCGCCTCGTGCTGCAGGCAAGTACAGCAACGGGTTCTGCCACTGGCCCCAGCCAGCTTGGGTCAAGGCCGACGGCTCCTTCCAGCCGACCGTGACGCACCCCACGCCGCTCGCCGACCCCCGCGCCGTGCGGAGCTTGCGCGCTGATTCTCGTGACTTGCTCGCACAGGCACTTCACCTCGCTCGCCGATCCGAGCGCCGTCGGGTCGGGGCACACCGCTCTCACGACCCTCATGCACGAGGCGGGACACGCGGCGCACTTTGCCAACATCAAGATGCCGTCGCCGCTCTTCTCGCAGGCGTGCGCCTCTCTTCTCTTCTCCTCCTCGCCTCGCCTCTCCTCTCCCCTCCTCTCCTCTCCTCTCCCTCTCTTCTCTTCTCCTCCTCGCCTCTCCTCTCCTCTCCCCTCCTCTCCTCTCCTCTCCTCTCCCTCTCCTCTCCTCCCCTCCCCTCTCACTCCCCTTCCCTCCCCTCCCCTCCCCTCCCCCCTCTCCTCTCCTCCTCACTGCCAACGCCTCTCGCAGGAGCGCGCCCCAACCTCAGTCGCATACGCCGAGCTGCAGTCAATGTTCCTCGACTCGCTCGTGGGCGACGCGGCGTGGCGCTTCCAGTACGCGCGCGACCGCGAGGGGTCGCCCCTCCCCTTTGCGCTGCACGAGGAGGACGTGCGCCGCGAGAGCCGCAGCCGCCGCCGCCGAATCGTGTCGCGCACTCCTCGAAGCCCTTCTCTGCGCCCTCTGCCGCAGGTGCGCGCCAAGCACCCTTACGAGGTCTTCTCGCTCCGCGCGATGCTGGCGGTGACCTCGCCTCGAGGGAGGGGCGCTGCACGAGCGCGGCACACTCGTCGACCCGCCTCGGACCCTCTCCCTCTGTAGGTGCCCTACTTCGAGAAGGCGCTATACGAGCTCCCCGACGGAGAGCTGAGCGCCGCCGCCATCCAGGCGAGATCGCACGGAGATTGCCCGGAGATCACCCGAGATTCCCCGCCGCCATCCAGGCGATCGCCGGCGAGGTGGGAGGGAGAGGGGGGGATCTCGGCGCATCTCGGCGCATCTCGGCGCATCTCGGCGCACGAGGTACGCCCGGCCCCTCCTCCAGGCGCTCGCCGACGAGGTGGAGACGCGCATCCAGGGCGGCCCGGGCGGGCGGCCGCTGCTGTCGGTGCCGCACTTGCTCTCGGACGAGGCCTCCTGCTACTACCACGGGTGTGTGTGCTCTCGCCGAGAGGTGGCCGCCCGCCGTATCTCGGCTGATCTCGGCCGATCTCGCTCCGTCTCAGGTACGTGCTCGCAGAGATGGCCGTGCACCAGACGCGCGCCTTCTTCGCCGCGCGCGACGGAGTCATCGTCGACAACCCTCGGGTGCCCCCCCCCACACACACACTGCGAGAGGCGTCCGCTGGCGGCCTAAGCCCAGAGACCCTCTCGGAGCCTCGCTACAGGTGGGCCCCACGCTGCGGGACGCGTACTGGCGGCCCGGCAACTCTGAGCCATTTCTGGGCCTCGTCGAGCGACTGACTGGCAAGCCACTCACCGGCGACTCTTGGGCGAGATGCAGCCGAGATGCAGCCGAGATGCAGCCGAGATGCAGCCGCAATATTCCGAGGACCACACCTCTCCTTCCCCTCGGCCGCCCCTCGGCTGCCCCTCGGCCGCCCCTCGACTGCACCTCGGCCGCCCCTCGGCTGCACTTTGGCCGCCCCTCGGCTACAGGTGGCCACGCTGCAGCAGCCGGTCGACGAGCTCCTCGAGGAGGAGCGCGCCGCGTACGCCGCCGCCGCAAAGGCGGCGAATGGCGCCGCCGCAAAGGCGGCCGTCGACCTCGACATGCGCGTCACGCTCGTGGACGGCGACGAGGTCATCGCCGACACGACCGAGGAGGGCGACTTCCTCGCCGCCTGCAAGAAGTTCGAGGGACACATCCGCCAGCGCTTCCCGCGCGCCGCCGCCGCCTAAGTTCTGGGGGGGGCCGGCCTCTCTCTGTCTTGCCGGCCATGCACCGTCACACGGCGGGATAGGGATCCCTACGTCGCAGCCGCGGTGCCGCCGCCCTCTCAGCCCTCACACCCTCCATGAATCTGCTTCTCGCACTGCTCCCGCAGCGCGCCTCGAGCGCGTTGTTCGCGTCCTCGTCGTGGCTCTTGCTTGCCGGCCCGCTCTTGTCGAGCGGCCAAAGAGCGGCCAAAGCTGTTGCCTTGCGAACGCGCCGTGAAAGCAAATTCTTGTTTTTAGACGAGATCAACTCAAAATATACGAACAAGCGTGCTGAAGCGATCTTCAAAGCAACGGATTAGAGCACACAGAAGTTGTCAACGACGACGTAACGTTTGGGGACATCTCCAATCCGCACATGTCAGCGATTTTACGGCCCCACTTGTGACTTGATCCCATGTTGGTCACGCGCCCGGTGCGTCCTTGGACTCGATGTAGGGCGTGAAGACCGGCTTGCCATTCTTCTCGCGAATGGCCATGTAGGTGACGACGCCGAGGAGGAGCGCGGCGATGCCTGCGCCAACGGCGATGCCTGCGATGGCGCCCGACGAGAGGCTGTCGTCGTCGTCGTCCGACGTGCTCGAGTCGACACATGGAGTCGCGCCGTCGTAGTAGTCGATCAGACCGGAGTTCCACAGGCCACCGACGTCAGCGCATGTGATGCCGAGGCACGCGTAGTTACGCTCAAAGGCCGTTTTGACCGCCGCGTGGCTGGTGGACGTGGCGCCCTGCTTCATGTTGTCATACACGATGGTCGCGTCGGCGGCGGAGCAGAAATGGAGAGCCGGGAGCACCGCAGCGGCGAAGGTGTAGCCCTCAGCCTTCTCCTTCTCGAGGCCGCCGAGCTTGTCGACCTTGTAGGCGTAGCGCATGGTGCCCTGGATGAGCGGGATGCGCATCAGGTTCGTCGTCCTCTCGACAATCGGCCGCACGTTGTCGCACTGGCCGAGCTGCAGCTCGAGCTGGCCGAGGGCGAACTCCCTCGCAAGGTCCTGGTTCACCTTGGACTGGCCAGAGGCCTGCGCACGGGGCGGGGTGGCGGGGTCGGGGTCCGCGCCTCGGCCTCCCCTCTGCCAATGAGGTGGGCCACGCCTCGTTGCCCGCCGACCCGCAGGTCTTGTAGTCCATGCACCGCTTGTCGGCGAGCGTCCAGAGTAGCTTGCCGCTCGTGACTTGGTCCGCGGACGTGTCGGGCTGCACCATACCGCCGGTGTAGAAGCAGACACCCTGAGTCACGCTCGGGCGCGGCGCGGTCAGGATTGGGGGGGGGCTGTGCGAATTCAGCACGGCTGCGCCTCGTCCCACGCATGGACAGGGTCGTCGTTGCAATGAATGCAGTCCTTCTGGCAGTCGTCGATTGCGTCCTCGAACTCGCGAATGACGTACATCCACACGTTCATGTAGGCGGAGCCCTTCTTCGCCCCCTGAATGCGAGACGCGTCGTCGTTGGCGCCCGACGTGGAGAAGTCGACGTTGCCGTTGGTGAAGCTGGTCGCACTCCCTTGGAGCGCCGCCTTGACCCAGGTGTCGGCGTACATATAGTCGCCGTAGTAGTCGTAGAACTTCTTGTACTCGTCGTACGGGCAGCCGGGGCAGGAATCGTACATCTTGGCCTGCGCCGCAGTCGAGAAACCCTCGATGTCGCGGCCGTTCTTGTGCTCGATGGCCGAAACAGCCAGAGGGCCGAGCGTCGGGGACGTGATGCTGAAGGGAGGGGTGCCCAGGCACCCGCCGGTCACGGGCACATACGGCGAGGTCTGCGACGAAAGGCCTCCCACGAAGCATCCGACGTGCCTGTTGGCATCCGACGTACCTCCGCTCGAAGTGGTGAAGTCGGAGGTGATGTACTGGAAGCGAATCTCTGTTGCACCAGCGGCGTAGGCGGCGTAGGCCTTGCCGGCCACAGGCAATCCGTCCTGGTCAGTTCCACTCAGAGGGTCGCCCTTCGAGAGGGCGGCGGGGAGTCCCGACTGCAGCGTGAGCGCTGCGTATGACTTGGAGTGCCCCCCTCCAGTGTAGACTGCCAGGGCCGCGTCATAGTCGGGAGTGGCGAGGCCAAGAGCGGCCTCCATGGCCGCCTGGTCGAGGTCGACGGCGCAATGGTCCGTCACCTGACGAGGGGCGGAGCACGGCCCCAAATGATGTGTGAGTGTTAGAATTTTTGGTATTGCTAAATTGCTCTCTCTCTCTCTCTCTCACGTGTGGGTTGGCGAGGGGGCGAGCGACCGAGGCTCGGGCGGCAGCGTGGTTGGGAGGCGGCCAGTGAGGGGCGCCCACCGCACCTGAGAGCCCGGCTGGTAGCCCACGACACGCTCGTACGATGCCTGGGCGCCGGTGGCAATGGCGAGCGCGAGAAGGAGGCGCATTTTGTGCCCGTCGGTAGCAATTTCGGGAAGTTCAGGGTGCCGAGAGGGTGTGTGGGTCCGTGCCGGAATAGTGCAGCGCCGCGTTTCGCCCAGTTTTCTATACCCTACAGTGTCGTCGAGGTAGACTTGGGGTTTCGGTGCCGCCAAGGAGTCTCGGAATGTACCCGCACGAGCCGCCCTCACTCATCACTGAGAGGTGCGGGCTGAGCCGCGGACGGGACGGACGGATTGAAGGAAGGCCTCGTGCATGAGCCGCGCGGGAAGCACTCACGTTTGTCTTTTTCGGGGAGGAGCGGGAAAGAGGGAGTGTAGATATACACGTGTGGGGGGGGGGGGGGGGACACGCTGGCTGGTATGATGCCCCAGCCGACTCCGCGTGAACTCTCGAGGGATCTCGAGTTGCGGAGCTCCGCTGCTCGGTGTACGAACTCTGTTCACACCGAGCAGCGAGGAGCGGCTGCGGCTATAGCAGACCGTTGGTTGGCGAGGAGAGGGGAATGGGCGTCGCACACGAAGGCAACCCGGACCAGATCACGCACACGAAATTCAAAATATATTGCACGGAAAGTAAAGTCTCGCGTTGCCGCGAGCCACGTATTATGGACTTTGTGTTTCTCTATCGAGGTCTCGGGACACACCACAATCCTTGTCGTCCGGGTTAGCTGCTTCAGTCTTTCGACATCCTTGTCCCGGTCGCTGCTTCCAATCTCATGACCATCAACAAGCTCTGCCGGTCCTGCCGCAGCGCTCGCACGCAGTGCGACATGATCGCTCCGGACGGCGCGGTGCGCACTTGCTCGCGTTGCAAACGCCTCGGCATCCAGTGCGTTCCCGAGCAGGACCATCGGAAAACCGTCAAGGCAAGCACCGTCTTCAAGAATGGCTTCAAGATGCGACTTCGGGGGGAGGAGCCAGGGCTGTCGGAGAAGGAGCTGACCCGGCGCGCGCAACAGGCCTGGCTGTTCTCCGACTCGAACCCCAAGAAGGCCGCCAACGAGGCCGCCACCCTCAAGGCTGCCACCAAGCCCCTCTTCCTGCCCGGGCCCCTATCTGCCCTTGCCTCGAGCAGCTGCGTGCCGGCGGCAGTGGCCAGAGCGGTACCGACAGCTCTGGCGTCGAGCAGCTGCGTGCCGGCGGCAGCTCTGGGCAGAGCGGTGCCGACAGCTCTGGCCAGAGTGCCGCCCGCACCGCTTCCCGTCCCCATGCCAGTTTCCGCCGACGCAGCCGTGTACCTCGGCAAAGCGACCGGTGCCGCTGCGGCGGAGATGACCAAGCTCGTCGTCCTGGGGTGCAGTGGGAAGCTCACCGACCGCCCAGCGCTGCTGTATGCGCTTCACGTCTTGCTCCACCTCGCAGCAGCGCGGGACTGCTGCGGCCTGGCCGCCTTTGCGCTGCAGTCGGCGCACCAGCTCCGTTTCCCCCTCTCCGACGTCAAGACGAGCGCGGCGGAGGGGCACTGGCGCAGTCGGTGTCCGCTTCCGATTGCCGTCCCGGAAGCCGTCTCCGGCCTCTTCAACTCGCCCTGCCTGGTCAGCGTGCGCAGCGTCGCAGCGGGCAGGTACTGGAGCCTCAACGGAGAAAGCACCTCCTCGCTGGGCGTCTACCCCGGCTGGCTGCCGAACCCGCACTTCGCCGAGCACCTCTCTTCGCCGTGCTCCATGGACTTCACCACGCCGGTCCAGTCCATGGCAAGCGGCTCGCCGCCGAGGCTCGTCGACGCAGACGAAGAGCGCGAGCGCTTCGCGATCGCCTTCTGCCGGGCGCTGAGCGCGCCGCTGTCGCCAGTCGGTCGGCTGCAGTCGGCTGCCCAGGTGCAGGCGGATGGCGCCTTCTTGCTGTGCATGAGGCGGGACAGCAACTACGTCCAGCAGCTCTCGAGGCTGGGCGTCCCGCTGGCACCAGAGGCGGAGGACATCCACTCGAGGGTGGTCGTCCCGCACACGCTCTTTGTGCGGCGCGTGTGCGTCACGGACGCTGCCAGCGGCCTCGTCGTCAACTTCTTCTGTACCGCGCTCTCGCCGTGCGTGTCGGGGCTCTTCGACTTTGGTCTCCATCAGCTCAAGCGGCCGCTGGAGAGCGCCTTTGGCGGCATCTGCCACTGGCGGGCGCCTGGCGAGGCCCACTCGGCTCAGGCGAGCGGCAAGGCGATGAAGGTCGAACAATGGGCTGCTGGCGGCGGCGGCGGCGGCGGCGGCGGTGGCGACGGCGGCGATAGCTGCGTCGCCTCCTTGGTGTCGCCTGCGAGGTCGTTCGACTCTTCCTCCGCCTCGCTCGGCAGCGACTCGTCGACTGTGGCCGAAGAGGAGCTATTCGCTCTGCTCGATGGTGAAGTGGCTGCCGAGGCCCTCTCGGGTGGCGACACGACCAGCATCTCGGTGTCGGAGGTGCTCGCGATGATCGGCTGAGCGAGCTGGCGGTTTCGGCGGTGCGGCTTTTCGCCCTCCCACAGGTAGCTTGTCCGTTGTCACATCACACATGAACATGAGCATGCACATGTTGTCTATTGAGAGAGTGGTGTATAGTGGTCTGTCGGTGTCGCCGCGGTATTTCTGTAAATGTAATACATTTTTCATTCGACGCGTCGCGTACCGCCGTCCCCGCTGGGCCCCGAGCGTTCTCGCGCGTCTCCGCCCCGGTCGCGGCGGCGCGGCTTCGGCCTTCGGCTTCGCCCTTCGCGCTTCGGCGGGGTCGCTCGTCCAAATCTGAACCCAGCTGCCCTGCTCAGTTGCCCCTACTAGCGGCCCGACCGCCCCCGCCCCCACCCCCGCGACCCCTGCCTTCCTCGAGCTCCGCGAGCCGCTCGAGCACGTCCAGCTCCTCCTCGCCCTCCTCGCTTTCGACCCCGGGAGGAGGCGCGGATCGCGGCTCATCCCACAGGAAGCCGCGCCCGAACATGCCGAAGAAGCTCGGCACGGGGCCCATGGAGAGGAAGGGCGGCTCGTGGCGGCCGCGCAGTCCTGTTATGCAAGAAGCGATCACGCGCGGTGAGCGTGGAGGGCGGGGCGAAAGGAGGATGGAGGAGGGGTGGGTTCCAGACACGGCACTATCTCGCGTCGGACTGCCTGCGCCGTGGCCCATCCCAAGGGCCATGTCGATGTGGACCGGCACGTTCCACGGCTGCGGCCTGGGGTCCGCCGTGCGCCCATAGCCTCGCGCCTCGCCACGCCCACGCCCGGAGGGAGGGCGCCGCGCGACTCGCTGGCGCTGCGCTGCCTGCGTCTGCGGTTCCAAAGTCGATGTGCCACGGGACATCGCCACCAATGCTCCGTGAGCGTTCTCCTCCAACAGCCGCCGCCGTTGTGCCGGCCGCTCGCCGCTCGCGTCAATCCGCTCCCACCTGCTCGAGGCAGGGGAGATAATCTCACTTTCACGCGCTTGCGGACCTCTCCAGCCTCCTGGCGTATCTGGGTCTAAATAGGTGCCCACCTCTCAACGTCAGGCGAGCTCGCAAAGCGCCGGAGGTCAGCATCGGAGAGCTGAATCACCTGCCCAGAGGAGGTGCTCGGGCCCGCCGCCGATCCACCACCCACCGCGACGGCGCAGGAGCTCGACCCCTGCGGTCGCGGCGTGGTGACTGCGGCGGATCCCGATCCAAACAAAGAGCTGAGGGTGTCGAGGGCGACGACCGCCTCCATCTCAGATGCCGATCGCACTGCAAAGTTGCGGCTTGCGGATTGGCCCTGAGCACGAGCTCGTGCTCGCGCGACGCGGCTAAGCTCCAAATCCTCGTTCACCACACTGTCGATTGCTTGAAGTGAAGGCGGCTCACGCTCAGCCCTGACCTCCAGGAGCGCACGCTCCTGGATCTCGCGTGGCACAATGTGCGGCAGCCTCTCCTACGCACGTCACAGGGAAGGCTCGGCGGGCGATGGTGGGGGACGAGCCGGTTCGTGCGCGTGTGGCGAGCCTGCAGTGCCTCTTTCGACAGCTGGCCAGAGGAGAAGTCGGCGAGCAGTGCGTCGAGTGCGGGACGGGCCGCAGGCAGTCGCTCTTTGAGCTTCTCGACAAAGTGCACAAAGGCGCTCTCGTGTTGGTGCGACATGACAGCGGCGCTGCGCAACCGGTGAGGCCTCTCCTGGAGCAAGTAAGAGTGCGGTCGCAACCGCCCTCTCCAGCCAGGACTGGGCAGCGATGTCTAAGCGTCGATGAAAGCAGGTCGGTCGTCCGATCGTCCCCGTTAAGTTCCGACCGTCCCCTTAAACTACGGTGCGATAATTTCTTTTTATTTCAGGAAATTGCCGGGAAACTCCTACATCTACATCTCGCTCGTTCAGTGATGACAGATGGGAGCTGGGTGCACAGTGCCGAAATCGATGTTCTTTGTCGGCGCGCCGCTCGGGTTCGCGCCTCTCGTGTCCATTTCGACAAGGACGTCGTCCTACTCGCTGCATCGCTCGGCGGTAGAATACTCGCTGCGTCGCTCGGCGGTCTTCCTGAAGGAGGCCAGCGACGAAGCCGAGCCGCCGTCACTGCACGGCGTGGGCAGCATCTGCGAGTTCGACGAAGGGAAGCAGGGACACGCCCGCGGACTGCTTGGAGTCATAATCAAAGCCGAATCGAAAGCCAAGGGCGGGGCGCGTTACGAGGTGCTCGACGCGGACGGACGCACTCACCCGATCAAGGCGGCCCAGGTGCGCGCGACCTTCGCTGCGTCCAAGAAGCTGAAAGACCCGCTCGACGCGCCACTCGTGCTGGCAGACTACGTGAGGGTGGCGGAGAAGGCGCCGACCGAGCTGGGCGTCGAGCCAGAGATGCTCGAGGTTGCGTGGGAGCTGGCGAGCGAGGCCGACGCGCCCCTCTCGGCAAAGCAGATCCTAGGCGTCATCGATGAGGTCCGCTCGCCCACGGCGCACCGGGCCTTGCACTCGGCGTAGGATCCGAGGCAGCGGACCATGCCTTAGGCGCTCTGCGCCAGCCCAGTCCAGCTCTTCGCGGCGTACCGGCTGCTCACCAGCGAGGAGCTCATGCACTCTCTGCACTCTGCTTGCCGTGATGTGCGCCGCTTACCTTGCCGTCCCTCGCCGCAGGTGGGCCGGGTCTTCTTCAAGGCGATCGGAGACAAGTACAAAGCCAAGGCGGCCAAGGCAGTGGCCGCGTCGAAGTCGGCGCTCTGCTCGGCCGCCGACGCGGATGCGTATGGCGACGAGTTTTGCTTGGTGTGATGACTGCCAGACTGGACCGCCCGCCCATGCCGGCACGCGATGACGTACCACACTTGGTTTGCGCAAACGCACCAGGATTAAAAGCGAGTCCGTGTGTAAGCACTTATATAGAATAGAGCAGTCCGCAGAGTAATTTCGACAGAGGCTCTGCTGAAAAAACCGCGATCCCGGCCTGAGGACTGAGAACGGGGCTCGGGGGCCCTGCCTTTCGCCGAAAGAGTACGTTTCGCCTTTCGGCGTTCATGTAGGGCCGCAGGGCCAGGGGGCGGCAGAGTAAAGAGAGCGCGCTCGTCTGGGCCGTGCCTCAATATTCGTCAGCCTATCCGATCTCCGCCGCCGTGATCACACGACCCCCCAGCGCGCGTGTGCCGCGAGGCAGGGAAACTCGATCGCCATGTCGTCATCGTCCGCGGGGCAGCGGTACCGATCCTCCAGCCACGCGCGCAGCACCGGCGCTTCGCCCGCCTTTGTGAGTCGAATCAGCGTCATGTCGTCGTCGCGGAGCGATCCGAGGAAGCCCTGGTACTTCTTGATGGCAGCGAGCTCCTTCTCAAACGCCGCCACTGCTCGTGGCGTCGCGTCCTTCAGGTAACCTGCCTCTGACAGGGTGTCAGTCAACAGTGTCGGAGCAGTATCGACGAGCTTGATGGGATCGCGGGAGACGCAGCTGTCCTTGGCGGGGATGCATTGCGTGCAGCAGTAGAACTGGCACTCACGGCATCCCACGTGCCCGCCATGTATTTTATCATGGCAAAGGTTGCAGACAGCACGGCCAGAGCTGCTGCGGAGCTTCGAGAGCGGGCGCACGAAACGTCGAAAGGCCGCTGAAAGGATGTCCTGCCTGAGGTCCTCAGGTTCAGAACCGGCCCTCAGCAACATGCCGGCGAGGAACGACAGTCGAGACGTCATCCGCAAATTCACCATCTCGCCCACGGACAAGCCGGATTCGACAGCTTGATGCTGGTCGATGAAGCGGAACAGGCTGCTCTTCGTCGACGTCAAGGAGGGCTCGCCCAACTGGCGCCGCAGCTCGAGATCTCCAAACAAAGAGGAGAAGACCGGCGTGAAGCGCGACTCGGCATCAGCGAAACTCTGGGTGAACACGGCATTGAGGTGGGTACCCATTCCCGCGTCCATTCCCGTCTTCTGCACGAGCTTCCGAGTGATGCTGATACTCTCCTTGCGGCCCCGCTCTTCCGCCGCCGACACGTGACGCTCCGAGACTTGCGCCCCGTGCTCCGTCGCGCGCGCGTGCAGCCGTGCCAGCGACAGCAGGCCGAGAAACGCCGCTCCGCGCAGCGCGCTGTACTGCAGCCAGGTGGGGGCGGTGAGGAGCGCACCGACCATCGGCCCCGGCACGTCCAGCCAGGCACGGGCGCACAGCACGTCCAAGCGGCCATCCTCGTCGTAAGGAGGCGTGACGCAGTACTCGAGCAAATCCGGGTCGATCCCGAGGTCCGGACGCTTGGCGACGCACACTCCCAGGGTGGAGCGGCGCAGCACCGCGACCAAATTGACAAAGGGAAACAGCGCGCCACGCTTGCCGAGACCGAGTATCGTCGAGCAAACCTCGCGGCACGCGTGAGCTCCTCGCAAATGCGGTGCACGGCTTCGAGCGGCAGATCGCCGATGCTAAAGTCGCGATACTGTGGGCGTGCGTGTGAGCGCGAGTAACGCGCGACATGAAGACCGATGCTTGGGTGGTCTGTTTTTCTTTCTTTCTTTTAGCAGACTGGCACGGACTAGCACCACAAAGCGACTCGCCGCTTTCCTCCCACGGTGAATTTGCGTGAGCTCTGTGTCCTGATTTGCCAACAACAAACCTAAAGCACCTCAAAAGGCACAGCGAGAAAAAGAAGGAAACATTCGTCCGTTCTCCGTTCTAGAGTGCCCCCCCCGCGTCGCGAAGGGGACGGACGATCAGTCGCCCCGTGAGTCGCCATGTCAGGTCGGAGCGACTCCGTCACCGCCGGGGTCTGCACGATCTGCAACTCCAACTCTTACCCTCCCATTCACGGTGGCTGCGGCTGCGGTCCCGCCCAAGGCCTCGCGCACCTGGAGTGCCGGATCAACGAGGCTGCGCATCTGCAGGCGCCTCTCCACTGACCAGCGTCGTCTCTGTATCACCCACCTCCACCCTCTCCGCCCGTGCTCACAAACCACACCCCTGCACAGACGGCGATTGAGGGCAACTGGAGGGTGTGGTGGGAGTGTGGGAAATGCCGGCAAGAGTACAGCGGCGAGACGCAGATGGGGCTGGCGCAGGCGTGGTGCGAGCAGGTGGCTGGCCTCCCGGATGATGATGACGAGAAGCTCGAGGCCGCCTCCTTGGTGCTTGATCACCGGCCACCCTCGTTTCGCCCACAGCCGAAATCACTGGCCTGCAGGCACTTAGCAACCTTGCGGACGCGATGAAGGACGCGGGAAACGCCGCAGGGGCGGTCGAGCTGCAGCGGCATCTCCTATTGCTGCGGAGGCAGTCCTCGGGCGGTGGCCACCCGGACACGCAGGTGTGTCAAAGGCCTCGGAACTAGCCGCCGAACTTACCTCGACTCATCTCAGCCCTCCGAGCATTGTTAGACACTGGCGAACAACCTTGCGTTGAACCTCGTGGAGCTCGGGGAGTACGCGGCGGCGGCGCGCATTGCACCGCCTGATGGTTGCGAGCCCCCAAGCCTGCGCCCACAGACCTTGTCGCGAGTAGGTCTCATTGAGGAGGGACTCGTGGGAGACTGCAAAGCGGACCTCGGGGGAGGACAGCCCCGCCGCAATGGCTGCCGCCGGCGCGCTAGCTGCCACTCTCCGGCGACAGCCAGGAAGTGAGGCCTACCACGCGCGCTTTGCACTGCTGAGAAGCAGAACTCTCGCTACTCTTCCGGACGCTAAAACTGTGCATCCATAGGCCGAGGCACAAGCGATAGAGCGGTCGCGGATGCAGTCGGTGCTCGGGAGGACCTCGCAGGTGCTCAGCTCGCGCAAGAGTTCCGAAGGCGCGTCCTCATTGCCGTCGCAGCCCCCGTCCACCCAAATGCCGTCCACAACATGAGGAGGAGGCGAGGCTTTGCCGGTCCGCCGCAGGTCAGCTCCACGTCGAGAAGCTCCTCTTTGGCGACCGAAAGACGGTCTCCCGCTGGCGCAGCAACAGCAGCTTCGAGGCGCGCCTTAGCGGCCGCAGCTCTTCTCGCACGTCTTTTGGGCCAACCACGCCGTCAAAGTTATCGAGCAGGCTGAGCGGCCCTGTCCCTCTTGTCTAGGCTCGCACGGCGCCCGGGCACACACACACACACACACACACACACACACACACACACACACACACACACACACACACACACACACACACACACACACACACACACACACACTGCACACACAATGCACACACAATGCAGGACTCTCTGTGGCACCGCCTTGTAGTGGCACCGCGCGTCGGCGCGCTCGGGATCGAGCGGAGATGATTTACAAGAGATCCGCCACAGCTCACTTATTTTGGAAAAGTAGACCATCTCTCACGCTGATAGTGATATACGAGAGTCAAAAGAGAGAAAAGAGTCGCACATTTCGCTGTCATGCGAGAGGCTGATGCGCGTGCAGCTTGTCCGGCTGACAGTGACACGAGGGTCTGGGGGTCGACCTTGAAGATTTCTGCGCTGACAACCCAAAAAGAAGAGCTCTTTTCGAATACAAGCCTCTCTCACAGCACACTGGCACTACAAGGGCGTGGACTGGCGCACACTAGGTCAGTAGCACCCACTTCGGACACACCTCAAAAGAATGCATCCAAAGCGTCTGGATCCAGAGGCTTGACCTTCTCGGTCTCGGCTCCCATAGGTGGCGCCTCTTCGAACGCAGACGCGGCCGCCGCGGGCGCGAACAACAGCGCCGCAAAATCGTCCGACCCGTCGACCGCAGTCACGGCCGAATCGCCATTCGCCTAAAGAGCGAGCCATCCCCTCAGAAGGACGGGCTCAGGTACCCGACCGTGCGATGATGGCGCATCTCGGCTCAATCTCGCCGTCCAATCCGCAACGGCGGCCGCGGCAGCCGCCGCCACTTCCTCCGCCTCCCGTTGGCTGGCCTCCGCCGCTAGCCGCTCCGCCTCCGCCTCCGCTGCCTTCTCCGCCTCGGCCCGAGCCGCCTCCGCGGCACGTGCAGCCTCCGCCGCAGCCTCCTCCTCGAGGCGAACCCTCGTTGCCGCCGCCTCCGCCTCCGCCGCCTCCGCTGCCGCCTCAGCTGCCGCCGCGGCCTCCGCTGCTGCCGCCTTCTCTGCTGCCGCCGCCTTCTCTGCTGCCGCTGCGGCGGAGAAGGCTGCGGCAGCCTGCGCCGCCTACACATGCGACGCGACACGGTGAGGCGAATCGCAAGTCACTCCACCTTGCATGTCATCAACGTGCCTCGGCCGCTGCCGCCTCGGCAGCCAACCGCTCCGCCTCCTCCTCCGCCGCCTTCTCCGTCTCGATTCGAGTCGCCTCGGCGGCGCGCGCTTGCTCAACCGCCGCCGCCGCCTCAGACACCGCCTTGCCCGCCGCCTCCTCCCCTGCCGCCGCCTCCGCCAGGGCGGCGGCTTTCTCCTCCTCCGCCGCCGCCGCCGCGGCAGTGGCAGCCGCCGCCGCCACAGCAGCAGCTGCTGCCGCCTCAATCCCTGCAGCCTCGGCCGCCTCCGCGCTCGCCGTCGCGGCCGCGGCCGCTGCCTCCTCCTCCTCCGCCGCCGCCCCTTCCCCCCCAGAAGCCAGACCGCCGTTCTCCGGCGTCGCCTCGGCCCCCACCTCCGCTGCGGGCTGCAGCAAGAGGTCGACGACCACCGGGTAGTGGTCCGAAGGCACCGCGAGCGACGGGAGCGGCGCCGCAAGCGCGGCTGCCTCGTCGGCAAAGGCGACCGGGCCAAAGGCGTGCTCCGGGAGCGCGAGCGTCGGCGCGGTGTAGAAGACGTGATCGATCAGCCGGCAGGCATGCTCGTCAACCTTTGCCGGCTGGCGAGAGAGCTGGCCGCGCCGCTTGTTGGTGCTGACGGGCTGCGCGGCGGCCGCCCCTGTCGGCGCCCCAGACGAGTCGAACCACTCCTCCCACACGCTGCGCACGCCCTCCACGCCGCGGACCGCCGCCCAGACACTGCCGGCGGCGCGGTCGGCGCGGTCGGGCTCCGAGTTCGCGTCGAGGCAGAGGAGCGTCGGCTCATTCGCGGCGACCGCCTCGCGCAAGCAGCCAAGCAGCGACGGGCCAGCCACCTCGCGCCGCGGCTCGCCAAGCACGTGCGGAGCGAGCAGAGTCGTCGGAGCCTCGAGCTCGGCCAGCCTGAGGGCCTCAGCGCCGGCAGAGCTGCCCGAGCCAAGGTGCGCGACCACGGCCGTGAGGGGCGCCCCATCCGCGATCCGCCGCAGCCGCACGCGCAAGTGGGCGCGGCAGCGGCCGGCGGCGTTGGAGGAGCCGCAGTACTCGACCGGCGCCGCGGCCTCCCACGCGCCGCTCTTCCAGAAGAGGCAGATCCCGTCGTCGCACGCCGCGTCGCTCGCCTCGCCGGCGGCCACCTTGAGCTGCCGGCACACCGACGGCACCTTTGGCGCAAACGCGCGCCCCGACGCCTCGAGGACGGCGAGGTAGCTGGCGAGCGGCGGCGGCTCGTCCGCCGGCGTCGGCTTGAGCTGCGTGTGCGGCGGCGCGTACGGCGGCGCGCCTGATGGACGGACGAGCCGGGGTCAGCCGAGGTTGGCTGAGGTTGGCGGCGCACGCAGCGGCGCGCCGCTCCCGCCGCACTCATAGCCGAGCGCGGCCAGGCCGCCGATCGCCTCGGGCAGCCAGTCGAGCTCCTGCACGGCGATCAGGTCGGGCGAGTAGGCCGCGACCGCCTCGCGCACCCTCGCCCACCGAGCGAGCGGGTCGACGACGGCGGAGAGGTTGCGCGCCGCACGCGCCACCGCCGCACTCTCGTCGTCCGCGGGCGGCTCCGCCAGCACGTCCTCCACCTCGAAGCCATCGCTGGCCATGCCGCGCGCAAGCAGGTTCCACTGCATCACCCGCACCCGTGGCGGTGGCGGTGGCGGCGGCGGCGGAGCCGCGGCGCCGAGCAGCGGCACGTCGATGGCAGCCTCCGCCACGCCCAGCGCCTGCAGCCTCGCGCGGCCCAGCGCACGGCACTCGGCCGCCTAATCTCGGGTCATCTCGGGTCACCTCGGGCAATCTCGCGGGGTGCAGCGGGCCGGCAGCGCCGAGCGCCGTCGCGGGGAAGGGCTGGGAGAAGGGGTGGGAGACAGCGGCGGTGGGCTCTGCAGCAGGCAGCCCCTTGCGAGCGAGCAGGTCGAGCGCGCGGGAGCCGCCGCTGCTGTCGGGGCGACTCGGGTCGGTGCCGCCTAGCGCCGCCGCCGCCTCGCCCGGCACCGCGCTCGCCTCGTTGTGCGTGCGGTCCTTGTTTGCGGCGCACGCCGCCTTGATCTCGGCGGCGAAGCTCTGCTCGAGCTCGCGGTCCTCCGCGGCCTCGCCGACAAAGGCCGTGTCGACGGCAACCTGGAGGGCGAGCCGCGGGGCAGCGGGCCGTGCTGTCGGGGAGCCGCGGGCGCGTTGAAGCAGCGAGGGACCCCCCCCCACCCCGGCCCCACCCCCAAAGACCCCCCCACCCCCCCCCCAAAGACCCCCCCCCCCCCACACACAGACCCCACGACCCCACACCGCCCTCCCCGCCCTCCCCGCCCTCCCCACCCCTTCTGCGGCCGCACTCTCCCCTTCCTCCCCCCGCGGCGCACCTCGAGCAGCGCCGAGTTCGTCTTCATCGCGAGCCGCAGCGCCATCAGCCCGGCGACGTGCAGCGAGTTGCGCCGCAGGTCGAGCCGGGTCAGGTGGGCGTTCCCCTCGATGGCGCCCGCGAGCGCGATGCCACCCTCGTGCCCGAGCTGGGCGTTCGCGAGGCCGAGGGTGTGCAGGCTGCGGTTCCGTAGCAGCGCCGCCTTGAGCGCCTCGACGCCGCCCACGCCGACCGCGTTCCCGCCCAAGTCCAGGATGCGGAGGGACGGCTGCTCGGAGAGGACGGACGCCACCGCCGCGGCGCCTGGCGCGGCACGCCGGAGCGAGCGCTCGGTCGGGCCACCGACAGTGTGCGACAGTGCCACAGTGCCATGAGAGAGGGGCGGCGGGGGAGGGCGCGCCTTGCTCTGCGATGCCGTTGCTCCACAGGACGAGGCACTTGAGGCTGCTGTTTGCGGCGAGGGCCGCGGCGAGCGTCGCCGCGCCCTGTGCGACGGGGGAATGCAGAGGGCTGTGGGCGATGCGGGTGACGGGCGGAAGGTCGCGCAGGAGGAGACCAAGCCCGCGCATGTGCTGTGCGAAGCCAGGCTTGCGAGATGCGATCTCGGCCAGATCTCGGCCAGATCTCGGCCAGATCTCGGCCAGATCTCGGCTGGATCTCGGCTGGATCTCGGCGAGGAGGCACCGCGTCCGCGAGCTTGTTATCTCGCAGGTCGAGCGAGGTGAGGGCCGTGTTCCCGCGCAGCAGCTTGCCTGCCGGCGCGAGGCGGGGGCGAGTGGGCGAGGCGGGGCGAGGCGGAGGCGGAGGCGGAGGCGGAGGCGGAGGCGGAGGCGGAGGCGGAGGCGGAGGCGGGGGGTGGCTCGCCGATGAGGCTGGCGGAGCGCGCGTCGATGTTGTTCTCGCCCAGTCGCAAGTTCACGAGGGACGTGTTGCGGAGGAGGCCGTCGACCAAGGCGGCGAGGCTCTTAGCGTCCACGTCGGCCTGCAGGCGGGTTCCGAGAAGGTTCAGGGAAGGGTCCGGGAAGAGGAGAGGCTCTTCAGGGTTGGCGCCTGGTCGAGCAGCAGCAGCTGAAGCCGGCACTCGGCGCTGGCGAGCGCGCGGCCCAGCGGCGCGAGCGGCGACATGCCTGTTCACGCCCACCCGTGTGAAGAGAGGCCGGTGGTGCACTGACCGGCTGGCGCGAGAGAGAACAAGCCGGCGGGCGCAACCATCGCGACAGCCACGTTCTGGTAAAAGTTGTTGCCGGAGAGGTCGAGGCAGAGGAGCGGGCCGCCCGCCGCGACCAGCTCGGCGACACCACGCAGCCCACGCCCGGTGATCTCGTTGTAGCCGATATTGAGCCGAAAGACCGACGGGTGGCCATTGAGGCCACGTGCGATGGCGGCAGCGCCGTCGTCGCCCAGCGCGTTGTCCTCAAGGCTGACCTGCGTCAGGTTTGTGTCGCGCGAGAGCACCTCGGCAACGGCCTGCGCGCCCTGGCTTCCGACGCCGGCCGAGCGCAGCGCGAGATGAGTCAGCGGTGTCCCGCGCTGCGCCGCACCCTCGAGCGCCGCGCGTACGCGAGATTGAGGTGGGCTTCCAAGTTCATCGTGCGCCGCGTCGTAGGCCGCGAGGAGACCAGCTGGGCTGCTGTCCTCATGCGAGAGCGCTTGGGCAGACATGCTGTCTGCTATTGCCGCAGCCGCTTCACAGCTGCTCCTGTAGGAGGGTTCCAAGCGAACCAGTTTAGACCAGTTTAGACCACTGCTAAACACGAACCAGATTAGTCCTGTTTACGATAAACTGGGTCTAAACCTGGTATGGCTAATGGGGTTCCTCCCCCCCTCGCCCCCGCGTAGCGCGCACCTCCCTCCCCCCCGCCTAGCTCCCCTGCTCTGAAGAGAGACGCGGCTCTCAGCGGCACGCGCAAGCGTCAGCGGCCTTGCTTCTTCTCGCGCTGGTCGAGGTTGTGCATGGCAATCTTGAGGGTCCACGCGGCCGCGTCGAGGACTCTTCCGACAGCTTCGCCGTGTCGAAGATCTGCTTGCAGAAGCCGCAGCGCGTCCCCTCATCTTTCGCGCGGTACGTCGGGAGCGAGGCCAGGAACATCGCCTGCAAGCATTTGGTGAGGGGCAGTGAGTACCACTGCTCAACCAAACACCACTTCTACTAGCACCTTTGCGGCCGTTAAAATCAACGCGCTTCCGCTTCTTGCCAGGCGCAGGCGCCGCCAGCTGGTCTGTCGCCGCGCCCGACGTCGCGCCCTAACACCGACCGTGCGCCTGATCGGCGAGGCTGTTGTTGCGCGGTGCAAGTGTGCCAGGTGTGCTGTCCGGCCCGAGGCAGAGGATGGCGGCTGCACGCTGCCGCTTCCGCAGCCACAGCGCGGCCGCGGCGGCGGAGCTAGCTAGGGGCGCCCTAAACCGGGTCTAAACCTGGTATGGCTAATGGGGTCCCCCACCCAGGCCGAGCCCTGTTTAGACCCAGTTTATCGTAAACAGGACTAATCTGGTTCGTGTTCAGCCGTGGTCTAAACTGGGTCTAAACATGGTCTAAACTGGTTCGCTTGATACCCTCATTCCTGTGGGAAGAGACCCACGGAGGAGCAGGCAAGACCCGAGCCCCCGCGAGGTCACAGCGGGTCGGCTGGGGCGATACCAGACAGGCTGACATGTGCGCTAGAGTTCGGAAGAAGAAAAGTCTCGTGGTTCTTGGGGGACGCGAATCCATCACTGGTGGTGTCCTCCACTCTCGCGGTGCTCGCTCGCCCGGGCGGAGGGCATGGCCGCGGAGGAGGCGAGTACGCGCTTGCCAGGCCTTCCGCAGACAGCCTCTCGGGCAGACTGAGGGTCGGCTTTGCGTGGCGTGGCCCGTACGCTGCGCTGCGCAAAGCTGCGTATGCTGAGGGAGCATCCTGTGCTTCCACTGGGAAGTGCGCACCTCCTGCAGCTGGTGGAAGGCCGTGCCGCCGCGCGTCTGCTCCGTGGACAGGGCGGGGAGGCGACGCCGCAGCGCCGCAGCGTCTGCTGCAGGCCGGTGCAGCACTCTGCTGCCTGGTGAGCAGCCTCCTGGATCTGTGCGCGGTGTTTGTGAGGCGGCTTTGGCGCTGTAGTGCCTGCCGCGGCGAGTGGCGCGCGGCACGCGCGGCGCCGCGCGTGGCCCGGACGGCGCCAGAGAACGCGCTCGATGAGCCAGCCGGCGCGGCGCGAGCGCCGTGCAAGCTGGCACATCGTTTGCATGCCTGGCCGTCGTCCACGCTACGGAAGGTGCAGGTGTACACCTTGTACCGACATGTCGGTAGGCGCGCAGCGCCCACACCCGCTACCTAGGTGTGTGAGTGAGTGCTATACCTTCAGCGCACCATATACCGAGGTACCCACCACATGTCCACACCGGTACCTGGGGTACTCTCGAGACGTTCACACCGGCGGTGCGCGCGAATAAGGTGTGCACCGCCCGTCGCGCGAAACGCAACGACATAGCTCTCATGGCGCCCAAGAAGCCCTCCTCCACGCAGAACGCGACGCTCCAGTCCATGGGCATGGACGTGATCAAGCAGTACCCGGGCCCGCTGTCCCTGACAGTCTCGAGGGCCGTCAAGCTAGCCATCAAGAGCCGGCTCCCGGGCAAGCACTCAGTCTTCCCGCACCTCACCGGCGCGGAGCAGAACGCGTCGTACACGGGTACGGCCGTCGAGTTCACGGAGCGGCACACGTTCGTGCGGCACGGCAAGGCCTGGGGCGCCGCGCACACTAGGCCCGGCATCCGCTTCATCTGCGACTCGGACGCCATAGCTCCGATGCTGCCGCTTCGGCTGCGCCATCCTCGGGCTCGGCCAGCCCGTCGACCTCCGGCCACGCCGCCGACCCACCCTCCGCCGACCCGCTCGGTGGCGTCGACATGTCGCTGCTCCAGCGCGCCGGTGTTCTCCAGAACACGCCATACGCTGCATGAGTAGCGTGTCGGGCGGGGCCGTCGGGAGGGGGCGAGCGTGTGTCCGGCGAGGCGCCCGTACCTCACCCGTACCTTTACCGAGGCAGCGCGCGGTGTCCTATACCTCCACCTTAGGTAAGTGGCCCATGTCTGTACCTTACTGTACCTCTACCTAAGTGTGCCGGCCAGCGCCCACACCGGCACCGGGGGTAGGGTCAGAGGGACTGCACCCAAGGTGTTGAGGTGAGCACCATCCGAAGTGTGGGCCGTCGTTCTCTGGTCGGAAGAAGAATTTTACCATAAAACTCACTCGCACAACACTGGGCACGGGACTGGCGCGCACTGGCACTAACACAGGTTACACCAGCCGGAGAAGAGAAGTTATTGGCCTGTGTCAGCAGATCAAGACACAGAGCGGGTGAGGATGTCGGCAGGCACAGAGGCGCGGAGCCCGGACGAGCAGTCGAGCACGCCTCTGAGCGAGCGAGCGCGAGGCTGCCCGACTGAGGTCGTCGCCCAGCCAGTTTGTATACTAGCTCGTATTCGTCTCCCACGGTGGCACTCCATTCGCAGGTGAAAGTTCTGCACGGATCTTTTCGCCCGGGGAAAAGCCTCGCCGCCGGCACTATGGATGGAAGTGGGTGAGGTCGCGACAGAGGCGGTGGGTCTGCGGCATCTTTCAGTAGCACCGGGCACAAGGGCGTGTATACCACAATTGGGCCTCTACATTTGCCGCCAAAAAGTGGGCGACAAAATGGCCCCCTCGGAACCTTCGTTCGACACCGACCGCGGTGGAGGCGGCGGCCGGCTCGAGGGCGGCGGTCGCGTACGCGCGGGCGGTCGGCGAGTACCCTCTGGCGGTGACAGAGGCGGAGGGCATGCAGCTTTCGAGTCGCAGCAGCACCGGTCACAAGGGCGTGTGCCGTGTAGTACCCAAAAAACAAAATAAGATGGCGTTTTACGGCACCGAGGGCTGTCCGTGTGCTGGGGGCGTCGGCCGGCTCGCGTTTGCAGCATGGACACGGACGAGCAGAAGAAGCGAGGCTGCTGCGACAGCTTTCTGCGCTTCATCTCCCTCACCCTGCTTTTCATCTCCACAGTCTTCTTCATGCTGCTCGGTGCCGAGCATTGGACGCACTTCGTAGGACTACCTGGGGAATGGGCCGCACTGTGGCGGCATTGCTGCACTCGTGTCATTAGGTGCTGCGACGATCGCGAGCGGTGCACTGGGCACGACACAGGTCGAGCATCTTTACCTGAACGACGACCCCACGATCGTGTATGTCATTATTATGGTGTCTGGCATCGTCATTGTGCTCCTATCGCTGTTTGGCTTCCTCGCCCTTTGCAAGCCGAGGAAATGCTGCACCCTCGCATTCTACATCTGGCTGCCGCTCCTTTTTTGCGTCGCCTTCATCTTCTCCACCGCCGTCCTCTTTCGATGGGTGAGATCCCGCTTCCTGTCCTGACCACACCACAGCTACAGCTCGCGCCCAGCAGCCCACTCGACGCCTGATAGGTGAACGCGTACAAGCTGGCTGAGGAGCAAGACTTTGTCGACATCGAGGCGTGGCAGCTGAATGCGGCAACGGCGCTGCGCGACGCCATCCGGCAGACGTGGTACTTGTGCGACGCGTCCGTTGTGGACGCCGGCACGCTGGTCCCGGTCTACGAGCTGACGTGCGCGAATGTCGCCTACAGCAAACTCGCGGAGCGAGTCACGGCGGGGTGCATCTCCGACATCGAACCGAATCTCTTTTTCAGCCTCGGTTCCTTCCCTCAGTGCTACAATGATGACTCCTGGTGGCCTGCCGAGGACCCCGACGCAAGCTCGAACGAGGAGAAGCTCAACACGCCCAAAGGTACCTTCTGCGCGTGCAAAAAGCAAGTCGGCGAGTTTGTCGACGACTACTTCGGCCACCGAGCCAGCGGCGTTCGGGGTGGCGTCGCTTTGTATTAACCTCCACACTTCGGGCGAATAGGGGTGCTCAAATGGACCTCGCTTTCCCTCGCGATTGCCTTCTTCCTCACGCTGCTCGGCTGCCTCTACCTCTGCTGCTGCTCTCGTTCGTCTGCGGACGTGCAGCCAGACGAGAAGGCGAGACCACACTCCTGGCAGCAGCGAGTCGATAGTTTCGTGCGGCCCACATGCGGGGATCCAATAGGTGGCGATGGAGAAGGTTGCGCGAGGGTCTACTCCGACAATCCCATTCGCCTTGAAGTCTTCGCCTCGCGAAACGAGCCAAGCCACCGATGACACGCGCTCCGCCAGCTGCGCCTCGCGGGAGGCCTCCATGGCCGAATACACCATCGACATCGACCGCGCCTCACAGGGAGCGGCGCCCAGGGAGCCGTCGATGGCCGAGTACGACTTCGAGATGGCTTCACCCGCGCCGGATGATGAGAGCGCCGCTCCTCGCCCATCGAGACGCCGATCCTCTACACACAGCGTACCCACGACGCGGACGGAGGAGCTGCGCAAGTCGCAAGGAAATCTAAGCCGCCGCTCTTCAAAGGGCGCCCCTCCTGCATCCAGGCTGCCGGCACCAGCGCCAGCGCCAGCGCTCGCACCTCCTGCGCCGCCGGAGCCAAGCCATTCTTTCGAGCCTGATCAACCCCTGCAACACATCGGTCCGCTGGCCACGTTCCGCTCGCCGCGCAATCGTTGAGGCTTGAGCGAAGGAGTGCCGCGGTACGAACAGAGACGATGTGAAAGTAGAAAGGAAGCGGGAGAGCGCAGCGGAGACGCGCAGAGATCGGACACCTCGAGGCCACCCTCGACCCTCGTGTGAGACCACATATTTTTTTGCTAAATGCTATCTATCTTTGGCTAACACACAGTGTCACTCACTCACTCACTCACTCACTCACTCTCTCTCTCTCTCTCTCTCTCTCTCTCTCTCTCTCTCTCTCTCTCTCTCTGTGTGTGTGTGTGTGTGTGTGTGTGTGTGTGTGTCGTGCGGTGTGTGTGTGTGTGTGTGTGACACGTTCACGTGTCGCGCTGTCGCCTCGGGGTAGAGAGAATGCACGCGTCATTTCCCCGATACAACATGCACTTGACACAAACGAGGCACACAGACACACAATGTATTCTTCGCATCAGACTCGCTGCGCTCTGTCGCTACTCTCCGACACGGCGGGCGGGGAGCACCCCCCCCGTATGCACATGCTATGTGCATGTTGTCAAGGTGTCTTGTTTCGAGTTTTGCGCTGGCGTTGACGCGGCGTGCCCAGCCCTCACTCACCTGCACCCTTGCATCCTCTCTCGCGGCAGCGGGTCGAGGCATCAGGTGGCGCAGCGGTCGCCGGCGTGTCCTCGCTCACGCGCCACGAGTTTGTCGCGTCAGTGAGCGTGGAAGCTGCGCCCGAGGCCGCCGAGACGGCGCCTGCGTGGGCTGCTGCCCCGGCGGAGGTGGCCAAAAGGAGCGCTGAATCGATGGCCGCCTCCGCCTTGGGGATGACCGTGAACTCCTCCCGGCGATTTGGGATCTGTGCAGCCTCGTAGCGGATTCGGTCCAGCGTCTTGATGTGCCCAGAGGTGATGGCGTCCGCCGCATACATCTCAAGAGGGGTGAGGAGCTGCGGCGCAATCCTACCGAGGCCTCCCAGACCCTGGCGGCGGTACGTTGTCAGCAGTAGCCGAGCCGCTGTGGCCACCGCCGAGGCGACAAGCGGAACTGCCACACCGCCCACCTCGATTGCTTCTCCCGATTTGACATCTGCGATCTCAGCGGTCTGCTCTGCAGCTTCGTTGGCCACTGCCGCCACAGCTTCGGGCGAAGGCCGGGAATGCTCAATGGCAGCTTCAAGCGCCAACTGTCCCTCCTCAGTGCTGAGCCAGTTTGAAAACTCGGCCGCTGCCTCGGCAAATCCCGAGCCGGCAGCAACGCCAGCCTTGTTGGCCGCGATGTTGGCGGCAGTCGCGGCCTCATCGGCGTTGTGCGAAGCCAATGCGGCGAAAAGCTTGTCATTTGCCGCTGAGGCTTCATCCGCGTCGAGCGCGTGCAGCCGCGATGTGGCATCGGCAGCCGCGAAGATCGCAGCGGATGCGTCGGGAACTGTCGCCGACGTGTGGGCTGCTGCCGCCGGAGCCGGTTGCGGAGCGGGAGCCCAGTACACTTCGTCAGCTGGGACGGGAGCACAGAGAAGAGAGGAGTAGAGGAGCAGCATTTGGCAAAGGAACAGCAGGGAGAGCGGGAACGAGCAAGGTCCAAGGAATTCGTCGCCCCACCTCCCCCCTTATGGGCCCCCCTCCTGGGGGTTGATGAAAAGAAATCGCGCTGGCAAAACTCTGTCTTTCGCCGCCCATCACGAAAATGTACAACAATGAACCCACGTGCACGTACCTCATGTCGCTTACCCACATGGTACCGCGCGCGACAGCGAGCGACCAACTAAATACTTAGTGCGACCAAGAGAGCGAGCGGCGAATCGATGGCGGGGGGCGTTGTACGAAGACTGTTTGCCCACCGAAGGCCCGTTCCCGCTTCGACGTCTTTTGCTCGAGCGGCCAAAAGTTGGCGTTGTCGGGGACGAGCGCCATGAGGGTCGGAATGGTGACCTGCCCCACAGAGAGAGAGAGAGTGCGGTGGGTGGAGAGGGCACCGAGGCTACGATAAGGCAAAGGGCTCGTGGGGGGGGGGGGGTATTGGTGGTGGCGGTTGGGGGGGGGTAGGGGTAAACCTTTGTCGTCACGAAGCAGTCGAGGAGGACGCCGACGCAGAGCATGAAGCCGACCTGGTTGAGCATCGGCGTCGTCGACGCGAGCATCGCGGAGAAAGCGAGGAACATGATGATGCCGGCGGCCGAGATGATGGTGCCCGCCTGGTCGAGCGCGGCGGTCACGGCCGACCGGGCGTCCTTGCCCTCCTGCCAGTGCTCCATGACCGAGTCCATCAGGAAGATGTCGTAGTCGAGGCCGAGCCCGACGAGGATGGCCAGCGTGATCGTGGGCGAGAGCCAGAAGAGTGCCTGTCTCTCCCCCGACGGGGCGAGGGCCTGGATCCCGAGTCCCTCGAGGTAGCCGAGCTGGTACACCATCACCGACGCGCCAATCGTGACGACGAGCATCCACGAGATGCAAATCACGGCGCGGACGGGGACGAGCGCCGTGCCGAACGAGCCGCCTGTGATGATCGTATCACACAGTCACCATGAGTCACTCTGGTGAGAAGTCACAACTCCTCCTCCTGGCCCGCCCAGGATGATGCAGACGATCGCGGCGATGGCCAGGCCGACGTAAGGCATCCGGCGCAGCGTGTACTGCGCGCCGTCCATCTGATCGAGCGACTTGCCATACAGGTGGAGCGAACCGATCTCGACGCCGTCCCAGCGGCCGTACGCGACGAAGTCCATCGAGTCTGCGTCCTGGTCCCCGAGCGGCTGCCTATTGACGAATGGATGAAGCATCAATTTGCTGGTCGATGAGTCTGCGTCCTGGTCCCGAGCGGCTGCCGAATCACTTCAGGCCGCGGCAGCGAGGAGCGCATCGCGCGCATCCACGCCTCGCCGGCGTACGAGTTGAAGTCGACCTGGCAGCGCACGATGACCCGAGTCGCCGTCTGCTCGCGGTTGTGGAGCATCGTGGCAGCCATGTCGTAGAAGCCGGACCAGTACGCGGCGGGCATCACGTCGATCACGCCAAAATAGAGGCCTTCGGCGAGGCAGCCGCCGCGCAGGATCATCAGACCGCTGAAGTCGGCCGCCGTCATGGTGTAGTCGTACCCCTCCTATGGGACACGTGTTGGACGTGTCATGGACATGTCCTGGATATGTCGTACATGGTGCAGTCGTGCCCCTCCTCGTGCATCCGATCGGTCACCTTGGTGGCGAGGTCCTGCAGCATGTGGCAGGTCGCCAGCGACCACTCGCGGCTCGCCATCGCGCTCTGCGACGGCGCCACGATCAGGAGCTGCAGCGGCGGCAGGTCTGGCAGGTAGACGTCGCGGATCTTGAGGAAGGCCTTAGTGGTCGGGTGCGTCGTCTGCATCAGCGGCGTCAGGTCTTCGACGTACGAGAAGCGCGTGAGCGCCGCCGAGAAGGGGACGGCGGCGGCGAGGAGGAGGACCGCCATCGCGGGCGCGCGCCGTTGCGAGCCGCGGCCGAGGCGTGCCCAGAGGGACTCCTGCTTCGGCTGCGACGGGCTACGGAGGACCGACTGGTCGATCGTCGCGCCCCCGTCCAGCAGCGCCACGGAGCCGGCGCGGTTGGACGAGCCCCCGCGGCGGTAGGTGCCGAGGGGCGTGTCGTCGAGGGTGAGGCCGAGCATGCGGTCGGCGGTGTAGAAGCGGGGCATGGTGAGCAGCAGTGCGGGCGTGAGCGAGAGCGAGACGAGCACAGACTGCAGCACCGCTATCGCCGCGCTGACCGCCATCGAGGTGATTGTGGAGGTCGGCAGCGCGAACATGGAGGTGAAGCAGAGGGCGAGGGTGGCGCCTGCTCGAGTCGCAAGACAGAGTCGCAGTGGTGGTGGTGGTGGTGGTGGTGGTGGTGGTGGTGGTGGTGGTGGTGGTGGTGGTGGTGGTGGTGGTGGTGGTGGTGGTGGTGGTGGTGGTGGTTGGTGGTGGTGGTGTGTGTGTGTGTGTGTGTGTGTGTGTGTGTTTGGGGGGGGGGGGGGGGGGGGCACCAGAGACGACGATGGTGTGGCCCTGAGTGGCGAGGGCGATCTCGAGCGACTGCGTGATCGAGCGGCCGTCGAGGCGCTCCTAACGGGGAAGGCTCCGAGAAGGTGCCGAGAAAGGTTCCGGGCGAGAGGAGAGAGCGGCCGCCGTGGCTCCTCGTTGAAGCGCGTGAGGAGGAAGAGCGAGTAGTCGATGGACATGGCGAGCCCCACTCCTATGAAGAGAGGGGGCGCGCCCACGCAGACGTCCATCACATAGCACGCCATGGGGTACCTGCGCCAGAGGGCGGCCCCGCGCGTGCTCGCGCCCAGCTCGCTCCTTCCGCCGCGCCTCTGCCGAGGCGAGTTGGAGGCGAGGGGCAGGCGAGGGGCGGCGCGCGCATGATCAGCAGCGTTGTCCCTCCGACGGCGCCGATGTTGAGGAGGACGAGGTGGAGCTGGCGGAAGTTGCGCAGCATGATGGCGAGCACCTGGTCAGTGAGAATTGACAGTAGTCTTGATGATAATTAATGAAGAGGAAGGCTGCGCAGCATGTGTGGCGAGCTCCTGGAAGGAAGGGTCCAAGAAGATTCAGAGGGAAGGGCCCTGCCAGTGCCGAGGCTGCGCAGCATGCTGGCGAGCACGATGAAGGCGAAGAAGGTTGCTACGGTCGAGAGGGCCATCGACCACTCGATGCCTACACGACGGCTTGTGAATTATCAGTCACTAATTGCGAATGATTAAGAGAGGGCCATCGACCACTCGATGCCTACACGATGTCAACGCACCCGCGCCCCGTCTGTGCCCCCGCACCGTTGGCTTGGGCTGCGCGCCTCCCGGGCGGCGGGGCCCGCGAGGATCTCCTCGCGCAGACCCAGCTCGGAGAAGCAGGTGAGGTCGACGGGCGAGTCGGGCAAGTCTCGGATCCGCTCCTGGCGGTACCCCTCCCACGACTCGAGCAGCTCGCCGACCGGCTCGCAGAACCTGCGGGAAGGGGCTCCGAGAAGGGTTTGAGACGAGGATGCGGGGGGAGAATGCTCGCATGCGGGCCCGCAGCACCAGTCGTTCTTGTACAGGCACTCGGCGTAGACGGCGTGGCCGTAGCAGCTGACGAGGTGCACGGCGACCATCCCCTCCTGTTCACGCCACAGGCCGTGAAGAGACGCTAAACATGTCCACGCCCGGAGGCTGCACGGCGACCATCCCACTCTCCTGCCCGTTCCACGAGCGCCCGTTCCACGGCGACCTCGCCGGGAAGAGGAAGGAGTGCGCCACCATCTGCACCTCGGGGGGCATGTCGAAGAAGGAGTAAAAGTTGAACTCGCACTTTGGCCTCCAGCGGCCGGGCGGCGCTGGAGGAGGGCCGAGCCCCGCGCCCTCCTCCTCCTCCTCCTCCTCCTCGACCGGCCACTCGACCGGCTCGAGGAAGGGCTGCACGCGCTGCTTCAGCTCGAGCGTTATCTTCTCCGTCTCTCCGGTGAGGTCTCCCTCCGGGTTGTACGAAAAGAAGGGCGGCAGCAGCTCGAGCTGCATCTCCGCCTCCGAGTTGATCAGCGACTGGTTGGGCGCGTTGACGCGGTTGGTCGACAGCAGCCCGAAGAGGACAATCGGCATGGGAGGAAAGTTCTGGTCGTAGGTGATCTTGGCCGCCTCCGACTCAGAGCCCCACGGCGGCTCGACAGAGATCTTCAGGAGTTTTGCGAGCGCAAAGTACAGGGAGGCGCCCGAGACAGCGAGCGAGAACCAGAGCAGCAGGAGGAGCCAGCGCAAGGAGCGGCTGCGCAGCAGTCGCACATACGTCACGACCCATTCCGGGGTGTCGAGCGTGCCACTCTTCTGACCATGACCCGACAGATCACGCGGTGGCGGCTCTGGCAGCGTGCCACGTTTTTGACCGTGACCCTCACGCGGCTCTGGCGGCGGGAGAGTGCTGCGCTGCTTCGCCTTTGCCTCGGCGTCGCCATCGCCATGCAGTGACCGCTGCACAAACATGCGGCGCAGCACCTTGCACGCGCGCGACGATGGAGAGTCTGGCTCCTCGGCGCCAGTCCGCATTCTGAGAGGTGGAGCAGACCGGCGAGCAAGGCGGCGGCGGCGGACTGCCAACAATGGTTGGAAGGGCGAGGTGAGGTTGAGGAGAGAAACTCCGACCGGGCCGCCACCGTACTCCCTTAACCCTGGTAAGTGGACAAAATTATGCGTTTTTTGGCCTCCCCTCCCTAACATTAGCCGGCCAAAATGTACTCTGACCGGTTAATATTAGGGAGGGGGGGGCGAGGCAGCCCTTCGAGTTCGCGCGGATTTCGCGAACTCCGAACTCGAACGAACGCAGCCGGCGGGGCCCAGCCCGAACCTCGAAACTGAACGGACCGCGCCGGCTGTGGAAGGCGCGAACTGCGAAAACGAACGAACGTTCGTGAACTCCGTTCGAACTTAGGAAAAAAGAAAATTATTGTGAAAGTTCGTTCGTTCGGCGTGTGCAGTTCAGCCACGAGCCGCGCTGAACGAACGAACTCGCGCAACTGCGCCACGTGCTAGACCTTGGCCGCGTGGCCAGCAAAGCGAGCGTGGATCGAACTACGATGGGACGAACGAACTAGTGCGTGTCAGTCCCGACCTCGTGGTCGCTCTGCCCCCGTGCCGCGCTCACAATGGCGTCGCCCACCTCTGCAGCTCGGACTGACTCGCCCCCGTACACGGACACGCCACCCCCACCCGACACCATCAACACGTCGCCTCCGTACTACGGATCCGTGGAGTACGAGCTCAGTGAGCACGGGTCTATCGAACGGGTCTATGAGCGACCCGCGGCGATTTTCGGCCGGTTTCCTGCAAGAGATTGGCTACCTCGACGCGGGCCTGCAGCGTACTAAGTGTCCGAGGGTCGCCTCGCCCGTTCCGTTTGCCGGGCCTGACCTCGATGGCGCTGAGGAGCCGGCCAAGGCTTTCGCAGAGCTGCGCCGCCGCGCCGAGATGGCCACTAAGGAGGCAGCTGAGGCAGTGGCGGCGGCGGCATTGGCGCTGGAGCCGACGGTCGCCGATTCCGAGGTCTGCTTCCCCACCTCATAGGCACCGCCCCATCAAGCTGATCCTTGTCCACCCTCCACAGGACTACGGGTCCGGTCTGCTACCCCTTCCCCTTCACCCGGAGCTGGGCGGCTCTGGCCCCTACCAGACCGTTTGGCGCCGCTCTACGACGGTCAACGAGTTCGGGATGGCGCTCTTTGTCCCGAAGCCGGAGCCGAGCTCGGCCCACGGCGGCTCCGGCCGCTACCTGCTCAAGGTCGGCATCGACCCGCCCACCCCAGAGCGGTTCCCGCAGCTGGACCGCTCCGAGGACTAGGGTCCCGATGGTGCCGGCTGCGCTGTGAGCAGGGCCGCCCTGTGGTGCCTGGGCGCCGTGCGTGCTGACTGGCGAGCAGAATGGGGGAGACGGGGGCTCCCCGAGGCGTCCAGGCATACTAGGCCTCTAGTAGGCAACCAGGGACTATACAGGCCTGCAGAGCCAAAATATAAATATTGCGGTTCGTTCGCGGTTCGTTCGCAGTTCAGACGAACTTCCCTGGTTTCCTCGGCCTGCGGGTGTGAAGCGGGTCGGGGGGGGAGGAGAAAAGAAAAGGCTCGAGTTCACGAACTAGTTCGAGGGTTCGGGCACCCAAGGGCGAACGACCGAACCGATGCAGCGAACCAAGGGGATGCCGTCCAGAGCGAACTCCGAAACCGAACGAACCACGAGTTCACCGAACCAGTTCACGAACCAGTTCGCCAGTTCGCCGGCGAACTCGAAGGGCTGGGGCGAGGTGAAGAGAGAAATTTGCGATCCCATTCGCAGAGAGAGATTTTTAGCAATACCAAACAACTCATTGTCATTGTCATTCGCACGACTGGCGCGCGCTGACACTAACACAGGTGAAGAGAGAAACCGATCCTAACAAGAACCTCTCTCACACAGTGACAAGCGATCCCACGACAGCGAGTGTGGGGATTACAAAACAACCCAGCCCTAACTAACTAAACGGAATGAATGGGGCGCCAAACACGTGCCGGATTACCGTGCGTGCCCCTTGCACGCCGGGCACGGCCTTTCGGTTCGTGAAGGGTCGGTGCGAGTCGTGCTACCAGTCCTCGGCCTTGGTGAGCAGTCACACCCGTGCTCCCCGCCATCTCCATCTGCCTGGTCTGCGAATGCTTATCAGCCACGAAAGGAGAGCGTGGCCGACGATATCAAGATCCCAGAAAGGCACCTCCGCCTCTGGACAGGGTGGCCTGCCACGTAAGGACCCCAGGAATTGCGACTCGCCGTTTTCCTCCCACTGTGAATTTGTGTGAGCTCTGTGTCCTGATTTGCCAACAAGATACAACAAAACAATATATGTAGGAAGTGGAACCAGAAGATTGGGGGGGGGGGGGGGTACGAGTTGGCGGGACGAGGGCGGCGAATTGCGTGGTACTGCGTTCGCTGCCGCTGGCTGCACCTGGCTGCCGCCGGCTGCCGCTGGCTGCCGGGCGCCCGCCGCAAATGGAAGACGAGGACTACGTGGTGGCGGCGGCCGCGGGGGCCGCTGGCACACGAGGTGCTCGCCGCCTCCGCCGCGACGCGGTGAGGCACAGAGCATGGAGAGCCGAGCGCATCGGCGCATTGGGCCATCGCGTTGCTGTCAGGGCCTCGGCGACGGAGAGCGGGGCCGAGGAGGACGAGGCCGGGGCGGCGTTCAAGTGGAAGTGGAACATAGACGGAGGGGAGCTCTTCGAGGAATGCCTCCGCAGGGCCAAGCTGGAGGGGCATCTGCCCGATCTCATGCGCGGCTGCCCTTTCAGCGGGCTACGCCCGAAATAGCGATGTAACGCAATAGCTCCCAAATAGCTATAGCCGCGTGCCGCGTAATCACGTAAAAGCAATCGAGTTGCTTTTACGTGAGTCGTGACCCAGTACGATATACGTGACGTAAATATCTCGCAGTCAGTTGGAGTGTGTGACTGGTTGGGTAGTAGTCTAAGTTCTGAGCCTCGAGGCCTAGCGGGTCTAAGTGTGGCTAGCCACGCTGGAGTGCTTGCGCGGTCTAAGATCAGCGGGAGCCTCTTAAATGGTTGGAAAATCCGAGGTGAGGTTGGAGAAAAAAATTCCTAACTGGGTAAAAATAAACTCACGGCACAGACTCAGGCCACAGACACGGTAAAGAAGAAACGACGGCAGGACAGCCGCAGAGCAGCGGTAGCGCAGAGCAGCGGCAGCAGCGGCCCTGGGGGCAGGTAGGTGCCTCAGTTCCTGGCTGGCTTTGCAAGGCGAATGCGATGAGCTCTAGTGTGAGCTCTAGCTAGTGAGCTCCATCGCACGCAAACGGATCGCTACTTAGTCAGTCAGGGAGGGGCCCGAACCCCGCGGTCCGTCCGGTGCTCACGCGTCACGGTCGGTCGGTGCGACGGCTGGGCTCGGTGTCAAAACAAACAAAACAAAGGTGCGCTTACTCGTAACGAGACGGGAGTCGCGCGCGGCCGAGCGCCACGAGTGCGATGAACGCTGTGGCGAGAGTGGCGCCCTTTGCCATGCCGCGGCGCTCTGTCTGCGGAGGCGGTGCGACCGACGGAGACTGCAATCATTCATTCATTCAAGTGCTTGCCAAGCGACAGGGGTTTTAGTTTCCGAGCGTGATTGCGTGCGATGATACAATTCCGTATGCCACGATAGAAGAAGAATTGTTGCCAGGAAACAAGCGCCGTCCCCGCCCGCCAGCAGTAGCAGCGGCGCCGCCAGAGCAGCGGCAGCAGCAGGTGCCTCAGATCGCTAGATCTAACTTCTGCGGGCCGGCTGGCGAGAGCATGTCGCGGCCACGGTTGCTCCCATTGGCTGCTCTCGCCGCCTCAACGGTCGCCTTGCTGGCCATGCCAATGTCGCGCCGACTCTTGCGTGCGCTCTCACCGGTGCGCTTCCGGTCGCTTGTGATCGCCTTGACGTCGTCGCATCCCGCCGCAGCAGCGCGGTTCGTCGAGCTCTCGCCTGTGCTACGGCACCCGGTGCAAATGCCGGCGAGCGGCGTGTATCACGCCAGCGACGCGCTGGGAGCGCTGTGGAAGTGGATGGTCGCGGCGCCTCTCGGCGAGCGCGAGGCGAAGCTGATGGCGGCGTGCAAGAGGCACTGGCCCGGCTTGGACCGCGACTGCATCAAGGCCGAGATCGGCGTGTGCATCGCCGACGGGCGCGCTGCCGCGCTAGCGGACGCGCTGCACGCCACGGCGCTCGCCAGGATCGACAAGCTCGGCCCGAGGCTGCCAAGTCACCGCAGACAAGTCCTGACCGCAGAGGCGGCGGAGGCGAGCCGCGAGCTGCAGAGCACGCTCGCGGCGGTGCGCGCGCGGTGCGCGGAACACCCGACCGGCGGCCCGCTGCTCTTCGCGCTGGCCTCGCACATCCGCGCCGCGCCGCCGGAGCTGCTCCGCGAGCCGTCGCCGGCGGGGCAGCGGCGCGGCGCGGAGCATGAGCAGGAGGCCTGCAGCTGGGCGCGCGGGCGGTGGCCGCGCTGCGAGGTGCTCGCCAACTGTGCGGTCGTCGCGAGCGGCGCGCCGCTGCCGCCGTCGCTCAAGGCCGAGTTCGACGCGCTCGCCATCGAGCCGGCCGCTGACGGCGCCGACGGCGTGCTCGCCGCGGTCGTCGAGGCCAAGGCCGGAGCGGAGCTGTACAAGGACCTGCCGAAGATGCTCGACGCGCGGGAGGCGCTGATGCGGCCCGGCGCAACGCTGCTGGTCCGGCAGAGGTCCCACCCGACCGCGCGCCGCCTGCTCGTGCGCTCCAAGCCCCGCATCGAGTACGTCTTTGGCTGCGCGGGCTCGTTCGAGTCGATCGCGGCGCGCTCCGTGGCGAAGCTGGTCGCGCCCACCCTGCTGGACAGGGAGGTGGAGGCGGCCGCGGCGGCGGGCGACGCGGGAGCGGCGTGCGCCAGGCTGCCCGACGACCAGCGCGGTCGGATGGTGTGCCGGGTGGGCTTCGCGCCGGAGAGAGCGGCCGCGATGCAGGCGCGCGTGCGGGCGTTCGAGGCGACGCTCGAGGCGCTCGTCGCGCGTGGGGAGATTGGCTTCTGGGGCCCACCGCTCGACAAGCCGGACGGGTGAAATGTTCTTGTTCAATTGTCCACGCAATATATGAGCGGCAATCCACTTCCAGTACCCATGCTCGCAACAAAAAAGAAATCGTCGTGGCTTTGCAGCCACCGCGGCGAGCCGGCTCACACCAACGTAGAGTTGAGAGCAGTTCGGAGCGTGTCGGATCTCATCGTCTCAGGATCTCAGCCCCAAACCCAGGCGTGCATCCGACCGGAATGCCCGTCGCGCAGCAAAAGCCGATATCTGATACCTCGGCTTTCAAGCCCAAGAGAGGAGACGTCGTCCAGCGCCATGTCCGATTCGAAGGACGGCCCCGTCAAGCCGTTGATGCGCACCCGCGTCACCGAGGCGGGCAGACCGACCGCCGCGTTGCGCCAGTCGTCGCCCTGGTTGCCAGTCCTGCTCCAGAGCGTCGACCAGCCGCTCGCGTAGGCGTCGACGGAGAGGGTGCCCATGTCCGAGCCGTACAACATGTACATGTGTTAGGCGAAGGAGAGGGTGGCGTCCTGCTGGAGCGAGAAGAGCGGGCTCTCGAGCTCCCACTTGTTGGGGCCATACGAGGCCTCGGTGGAAGACGTAGTAGCCCGTGTCGGTGGTGTGGTCGCCGCTCGGGCCTGTGCCCTGGGTAGTCGACGGGCCCCCGGGGGCGACGGGGGTGCTCTTGGGCCCCTCCCCCCCAGTCAAGGGGGTCTGGGGCTGGGGGCGCAGCCCAAGGAGGCCCGCCGCAGGCGCCGATTTTTTGGGGCTTTTTTGACTGATTTTCATGAGGTGTTGCTACTATTTTGGGACCAGTTGAAGCCTAAAAATGGCTACAAATACAGCCACACCAGCTGCTAGTCGTGAGCTGCTACTGTGTGGCAGAAGAGAGGGCTTTCAGGAGCACTATTCAGTATGATCCAGCTCAACGTTGCGGAGTAGTAACACTGTTCCGTTACCGTGAGCGGCCGGCGGCCGGCGGCGGCCGGTGTGGCACGCGGAGCACTCCGTGAGCGGTGACGGGTGCGGACGAGCGGATGAGAGGTTTCTTTTAGTGAGAGATAGGCAGTCCTAGTCTCTAATAACACATCTCCCACAGATAGCGACCTCTCATTCGCTCGTCCGCGCCCGTCACTGCTAGTCGGGGCACTCCCGGCGTGCGGCCCGGTCCCGGTCGTCACTCCGGTTGCTCGTGTTCACACCGTCAGAACTCAGCTCCGCTAAGGATTCAGGGTCTGAGACTTGGGCATCTTACACAACTTTTGTAGTAGAGCACAATGGCACCCTTGCATCAAGTGCATCACTTCATTACTACACCTTACTACCGAACCCCGTTTTCGGCCGCCGCGGCCGGAGAGCACCCCCGTCGTCCCCGGGGGCCCGTCGACTACCCAGGGCCTGTGCCTCCTGATGGCGTGAAGCCGCTCGTGCGGGTCCAAGAGTACCCGTCCGGCGCGGTGTCGAACCAGACACAGGTGTCGACCTCGAAATCGCAGCCCAGCTGTACCATGTCGGGCAGAAGAGGCGGCGGCGGCGGCGACGGCGGTGACGGCGGCGGCGGCGGTGGCGGCGACAGCGGCGACGGCGGCGAGGGCGGCGGCGGCGGCGACGGTGGCAGCGACGGCGGCGACGGTGGCGGCGACGGCGGCGGCGGCCGCGGCGACGGAGGCGCAAACTGCGAGAAGTAGACGTCGTCCAGCGCCATGTCTGATTCGAAGGACGGCCCCGTCAAGCCGTTGATGCGCACCCGCGTCGCCGAGGCGGGCAGAACGACCGCCGCGTTGCGCCAGTCGCTGGCAACGGGGCCAGTCCCACTCCAGAGCGTCGACCAGCCCGTCTCGTTGTTGTTAACCTCAACGGAGAGGGTGCCCATGCTCGAGAAGTATGAATCCTTTTCGGCGTACATGTGGTAGAAGAAGGTGAAGGAGAGGGCTGCGTCCTGCTGGAGCGAGAAGAGCGGGCTCTCGAGCTGGTGCAGCGCGTTGTAGATTCCAGAGGCCTCGGTGAAGAGGTAGGAGCCCGAGCCGGTGGTGTGGTCGCCGCTCGGGCCTGTGTCTAACGTTGGCGTGCCGAATCTCGTGCGGGTCCAAGGGTACCCATCCGGCGCGGTGTCAAGCCAGCCGCAAAGGCCCGCCTCGAAGCTGCAGCTTAGCTGCTCGGAGAGCGGCGGCGGCGGCGACGGCGGCGGCCGCGGTGGTGAAGGCGGCGACGGCAGAGGCGGCGACGGCGGGGGTGGCGGTGCTGGTGGCGGACGCAGCGTAAAGTAGAGCGCAACCCCGACCCCGCCCATATGGGCGAGCAAGAGTAGGAGCCCAATGGCGGCGCACTTTGAGCAGTAGCCGCACCAGCAGAGCTCCGTCGCGGCTGCCGCAGGAGCCTTGGACTCCTGCCGGTAGGAGTTCTTGCCCACCGATTCGCTCACAAAGTCCTGTACGAAATCCGTCCTCTCCATCACTCCAGAAGGCACGCGTGTCTTGTCTTCCGCGCCCCACTCTGTACTGTCGGTAGCAGCGCCGGCACCGCTCCGGGCACCAATGCTGCCGCTGTGAGTCGACGTCGGATCTTGGCCCATCAGGTGGGTAAAGAAGTACGTCAACCAAGCCGCCACACAAAGCACAGCACCCCTTGCGCCATTTGGAGGTTCGTACGCATGAGAGAGGACAGATAGAGGGGGAGGACAGATTCAATGCTCCCGCGACGAGGAGGCCCACCTGGCTTCCAAGCAGCAGCACTTTGAGCACCTTGAAATTGCTGCGGGCCGCAGCAGCGCACCCGACGCTGTAACCCTTCGCATCGAAGCTGAGCAGCGCCACGGCGACGCCGAGAAGGTGGCCGCTCGAGAGGAGTTGGAGCACTGCCTTGCACCAGCCAGAAATCTCAATGCAACACCGCTCATACGGGCTCAGCTCGATGAGGATCAGACACACCACTGACATCATCACGACCAGGTAGGAGATGATGAGGAGCGACCAGAGCAGCTGCGTCTGGGTACCGCCGCCGCCTGCTGCTGGGTCCCTCCGCCGCCGCCCGCTGCCGTCGCTGCTGCTGCTGCTGCTGCTGCTGCTGCTGCTGCTGCTGCTGCTGCTGCTGCTGCTGCTGCTGCTGCTGCTGCTGCTGCACGACGCACGCAATTTCGTGGGAGTGGTCGGCAGTGCGTCAAGTGGCCACGCATTCGAAGTCGGGCGCCCATTAGCAGTGGCAGTAGGTAGCGTTGCCGTCGCAGTGAGTAGTGCTGCCGTCGCAGTAGGTAATGCTGCAGCTGAGATGGTCGGAACCGCAACCATCTCAGTTGCTGGATGCGTAATCACTTTGCCCATCACCACCCCTTGCTCATAAGGAGGAGGCGCAGAACCACCAATCTCCCGCGCCTTCAGCAGCTCGAACTCCTCTCGCGTCAGCGCACCCTCATCAAGAAGCCGCTTCAGTTCGGCGAGCTTCGTTGCCGATGTCCACATCGTCGTTCCACAACGACGACGTCGTCCGTCCATCACGACGTCTTACAGTGGCGTCGGGCATGAATACCAAAGAGTGGTCGAAAAGAGTGAAGTCTCCACCGCTCTGTAGGTCTTTGCCGCGAAAAATCGGCCTACCTATCTGGAGCCGTCGCGGGGCGGTGTGGGCCCGCCCCTACCTATGTGTCAACCCGAGCGCGTCGGCACCGGCGGGGCGGCGACCGCCACAGCTTTCCCTTTCTTTATCGTGGCGTGCCGGTCCTAAATAAATAGAGCAGTCACCTCCAGTAGAGATGGGCGACGCACGAACACAGTGCGCACCCCGCCCCGCTCGCAGGGCGTGCATCACACACAGGTGGACTGTGTGACTCCTCAGGTTTCTGGGGACTCTTGACAGAGGTGTGCTAGTCGCTATTCTCCGACAATTCCGACATGTCTGACGGGCAGTTCGGGCTCGAGCGAGAGCCGCGGTCGCGGTCGCGGCCAGCGCGCGGGGCCTGGCTAGGGCTGCCGGGCGTGATCTCGACCCACGCGCCGGAGCGCGCATGTTGCTTGAGCACAGCCGGGTGGTCGCCGCAGCCACCTCGAACGGGAGCTCGTCAAGCCACTCGCCGAAGGTGCCCTCGTCTTTCACCGCCAGTGTGGTGCCAAGGTTAGAATTCTTTTCTCGAGACCTCGAGAGAAGCCCGCGCGCCGTACCGGGTAGCCGATTTTGATGTCGCTCCAGCGACGACCTTCCTTCGACATACGACTCTCGTCGTCCGGGACAGCTGCGGTGCGGGCCGGATTTGCAGTGGCGACTAGCCTTGCCTTGGCAAGGCTCGGCGTCGGCGTGCTCTTTGCTCGGCACGCCTGCCGTACAGTCTTCAGCCGCGAGCCGCCAGACGAATTGTCGGCGCTCGCGTCGCTCTTGCAAGTGACACGTCCGCTCCGTATCGCGTGGCGCCTGCTCACAGCGAGGTTCCGCACAACTCCGGATGTTTACATCCTGGGAGAGGTCCGATGCGGGACGACAACGCTCGCCTCGATGCTGCGCTCTGAGCTGGGCATGAGTGGGCCCTTCACGCCGTGGGTGCACCCGCTCGCGGACGAGAAGGAGTCCTTCTACTTCTCGGGCCACTACTGGGGCGTCGTCGCGCCCGCCCTCTACCCGCTGGCGTTTCCTCTGCGCGTGTGGCGGTGGCTGCACCGTTGGCTGCGTGGCCGGCGGCTCTTTGTCTTTGAAGGCTGCGCCTCGTACCTCTCGTCGCCTTGGGCGCCGCGGCTCGTGGCGGCGGTGACGCCGCGGCCCGTGCTGGTCGTCTGCCTGCGCGAGCCGGTCGAGCAGCACCGCTCGTGGTGGCGCCTCGAGCAGGCTCCGCTGCAGGTCGGGACGCACCGGGGCGAGAGGGAGAGTCGAGCGTGCGGGTGTGTCCGCCGCGTAGGCATCTCTCGCGTGGGCGGAGGAGCTGCGCCTCGGCCGCCGCTGGCTCGGCCCGCCGCACCGCACCGCCGGCTACCCGCCGAAGAGTTTCCGCGAGGCCGTGCTGCTTTCGCGCAGTGCCGAGGCGCCGTGAGCTCCTCCCGAGAGAGATGTCCCTGCGCCTCCCGCGAGATTGGGCGAGATCTCACCCTCTCCCGGCCACCGTCCTTGGGATCCACCCACCGAGATCGGCCGAGGTGAGCTCGAGATCGGGCGAGATTGTTCGAGATCGGCCGAGGTCGTCGTCGCGTAGGTTGGGGCGATCTGGCGGAGGGCGGACGAGCTCGCCGTGGGCCCTCCGCTGCGCCGCATGCCGGCCTGGGCGCTGCCTTTTCCCAACGGGCAGCTGTCGGCCTTTGACCGAATGGGGCGGCTCGCCGACTCCATCGAGCGGTGGCGCGCAATCTTTGGAGCGCATCGCCGACCCACACAAACCCTCCCTCTCCCTCCCTCTCGCCCTCCCTCACCCCCGCTTCCCCGTCTCCCCGGTATGCTCCCAGGGAGCGAGTGTTTCGTCTTCGTCTCGCTTGACGAGATCGTGCACACACCCGGCGCTGTCCCCTACACGATCTTCATTCAAGAACTCCTCGTGATTAATTAACGATCATCTTGATTTATAATCTCAAGGCGCCGTCCTCTCCGCGATCGCCGCCAAGTGCTCCGAGCTGCACGGCGAGGGGGACGGCCTCGCCGACTGCACCGCCGCCGCCGACGGCCTCCGGGCGCCGTGCAAGAATGCCTCGGCGCCGCTGCCCGACGATCTCGCGCCAGACGAGCTCACGCAGTTCGAGCTCGCCGCCTACTACCGCCCTCACAACGAGCGGCTCTTTCGCGTCATCGGGCGCGACCTCGGATGGCACAACGACCCACACCGCTACCCATTCTACCACCCGTCGCCGGGCGTCTCGATTGCGATGAGTAGGGACAGCGAGTGGGGACTCGGCACAACCCCCGGCAGCGGACCCGGCAGCCGAACGGACCTCTCCGTCTCGGCGGCTTCCGACTCGTCGCTCTGCCTTGTGGACGTGCTGTGACACTGAGTCTGACACGCGACACTCTCTTTGTTGTGTTAAGTGTAAGAGTACTCGCGCTCGGCTGGAAGCCACCACACGGCCAGGGAATATTGAGAACTACCAAGCCACCCCACGTGTGTGGCATATGAGCGATATCACTGTGGCGGCAGCAACGCTCCCGTCGCCCGCCGCCCGGGGCTTCTCTTGACCGTCTCGCCAGTCTGTCTGTGGGGAGAGGGGTCACGGTCACCCGAGTCCCTCCAAGGGGTAGTTACTCGCCCTCGCTCGAAGAGGCTCCGACGGCCTCGTTGATGGCGTCCGGCAAATCGACTGCCCCTCCGACCACTTCGCTCAGCCAGGTGGGCGGGTGGGCAGCGGACCGGACGAGCTGCTCCAGGAAGTCGAACACCTAGAGAAGTACAAGTACAGCAGGCGGTTACTGTGCGTGAGTGGTCAGCTGAAATTCCGCGGAGAGCAGCGCCGGATAGACGGCATCCACGATCCGCTCCAGATCGACCTCTTCCTTGTGGAGCGCCGCAGCAACCACGGTGCCGAGCCCGCGCAGCGCCGACCTGGCAGGACCGTCCAGGTGCTCCTCGAAGAAGTCGGCAGCCGCCTGTGCGAATTTAGACTGATGGATCGGCAAAGGCAGTGGGGTGATTGCGTGGCGGGCTCGCGTACCACAGTGCCGTTGGCAAGCCCGTGCACACAAGCCTCAACGGATCCGCAAACAGGACCGAGGCCATCTTGCAGTCGAGAGACGGCATCCGCCAGACCAGCCTGGACGTCGTCGATCGCGGCAGTCTTCTCGACCGGGGCTGAGTGAGCGGCGGCCGCCAATGCCACTACGGCGAGAAGGCGCATCATGTCTGCAATGCCTTGAACAAGGTCGTCGGGTCCTCCAGCGTTTCGTAACCATCGCGGTAAATTACTAAATGATCCTAACATACCTAAGGTCTATGTAATTACGAGGAGTCAACCGTACTACGTTGCCAACAACAAACCTATACTCCGCCACATCGAAAGTGGAGCGAAAACTCAGCCTTGAGTTCTCAGCGCCCTCACGGCCCGCCAATGGCAAACCCGACTCCCTCCATCCGTGTGGCGCCGCCCGTTTCTTTCTTTCTGGTTTGTATTAATAACATTTTAGGCGCTCTCAAAAGAATTTTACATCACGCGCGATTCACACGACAAGCAAGGCGCAGACGACGGCTTCCTTAGAAGCCGTCGTCGGACTCGCACTAAAAAAGAAATGACACACGACAATTTTTTTCTTGTGGCCATGGCGCCGGTGCCGGCTTCCGAGCGCCTCTTGTTGATCCCAGCCATTAACAAGAGGAACACGACTGGCTACAAGAACGTGGCCTACGACCGCGGCAGTAAGAAGTTCAAGGCGCAGGTGCAGGATGGCGGCAAGTGTGTCCACCTCGGCTCCTTCGCCACCGCCGAAGAGGCGGCCACCGCCTACGCTCGCTCGGAGTACGGCCGCGCCGACGCCGCAAAGCTGCTACAGCCCCGCGCTACTACCACTGCCGCTGGCGCCGCGGCGATACTGCAGGCGGCGAGGGAGGGCCTGAAGCTGGTTGCCAGCAGCAGCAGCAACAGCGGCTACAGGGGAGTGACCTTCAAGCCGAAGGAGCGAGGCAGCAAGAAGTACAAGCTGACGGTGAAGGTTGGGCGCAAAGATGTGCACCTCGGCTACTTCGCCACCGCCGAGCAGGCGGCGCTCTTCTACGCCCGCAGGGAGGCGGGCAGGGACACCAGCGATCTCACTGCGCCGCCGCCACCGCCGCCGCCACCTGAGCCTTCCTCTGCTGCCGGCGCTGAGGCGGTCCGGCAAGCAGAGAGGGAGGGGCTGACACTGGTCACCAGCAGCAACAGCAACAGCGGCTACAGGGGAGTGACCTTCAAGCAAGGCAGCAAGAAGTACGAGCTGACGGTGAGGTTTGGCGGCCGGCAGAACTCCCTCGGCCGCTTCGCCACCGCCGAGCAGGCGGCGCTCTTCTACGCCCGCAGGGAGGCGGGCAGGGACACCAGCGATCTCACCGCGCCGCCGCCACCGCCGCCGCCGCCACCCGCGCTTTCCACTGCCGCTGGTGCCGAGGCAGTCCGGCAGGCGGGGAGGGAGGTGTCGGAGATGGAGGTGGAGGCGGCTGCCGCAGTTGCGGGCATGTCCGCGGCTGCAGCTGCTGCTGAGCAACAGGCCCTCCAAGACCTCACCCTCTCCGCCTCCACCCAGCACCCTTGAAAAGAGGACATGTTAACCAGGAAATCGCACATCCGTCACCAAGCCGCAAGCGCGGGTCTCCGGCAGGGACCGCCCTTCTCCTGACGCTCCCCCCCACGATTCCAATTGCGAATTGGCGATTCGATTTCGGATTTGACTCTCGGCACTCGCACCACCACAGGCTTAAAAAAAAATTGCTTTAGAAGAAAAACGAGCACGCATATTCTCCCCCCTCCATTCTCTCCCCCTTGGCGCGGGCGCCCCACTCCCCCCAGCCCCTGTATCGCGTACTAGCTGTGGCTACCGTAGGCCACACTTGCGTCGCCGGAATTTCCTGCCCTAGGTGGGAAGCTGGCCGCCGATCCTAAGACCCATCGACCAGGGTTTGCTTGATCGCGCGGGGTGAATGAGTGATGAAGTTAGTGCCTTGGTGTCCGTTCCCCATGGTGGCTTCGCCCCTGGTCTCTACGACCATGAATGAGAGCTCTCACTCCCAGGGTACTCCCGCGTATCTCGGCTCCCTTATCCCCCCCCTCTTCCCTCCCCTTTCTCTCTCCGAGATGACCCGTGCGCTACGTGCCTAGGTTCGGTCCTCGGGGAGGGGGGCGGGATTGGCGGTGTGTCCTCGCGAGTTGTTTGTTGCTGGACGCCCGACAGTTTCGATTTCCCTCCTTAGCGCCCCGGGTAGAGCGTGGTCTCCCCTGGAGCCTGCCACGCCCGTTCTGTCTAAGCCCAGGGTTCAACTTTCCAGTTGATCCTTATCGGACTGGTGAGTTCCTTCTCGCTGTCAGTGTGACGCCCCGCGGCAGTCATAGAGTCATATTCTGGCAGCGGTGCTACACACACTACGCCATTTTTCGTTTGACGTTTCCACACCACCACAGGCTTAGTGCTTTATACGTAGCGATATAAGAACAAGGACAAACAGCACTCCGTGTGCCGCAAGGGACGGCGCACAACCACTGACCCAGGACACGTGAGAGGCTCGCCCGGGGCGCCAGCTTTCATGCAAGCCAGCGCCGTGGCGGGCGCGAGAGCGTTCGCCGGATGCGCGCGCTGCGACACCGACCCCGCGCCCTCGCCCCTCGTTCCGTCGCGGCCAGTCGCTCGCCCCCCCCCTTTCGCACACGGAGCGCACCACGCTGACACTTGCCCAGACAGCCCCCTCTCAACTGCATACGTCTATCGGCGCACGCCCTTGGGCTTGCCGGACGCCTTGGAGGCCTTGCTCTTGGGCATCTGCTGCTTCTGCGGCGGGGCCTTGGTCCTGCGGCGGACGCGGCGGCGCACCGGCTCAGAGGGCCGCCAACAGGGCATGGGCTGCCTCACAGCTGCGCCTCTCGCGTGTCCCTGTATGCGCCCTGCCCGCGCTCGCGAACCCCCGCCGCCAACCCCCCCCCCCAACCCCCCGCCTCGCCTCACGCCCATTCCCCCATCCCCGCTGGCGGCGACGACCGCCCGTGCGTGTGCATCTAGCGGGGCCGCACTTTTGCTCCGCCTTCTTCGCGGCCTGCTTGGCCTTGTTGCGCTCCTTGATCTCGCGCAGCGCAGCCTCACGCGCGGCCGCGCGCACCTCCGGCTTTTGGCTCCGCTTCGCCTTGATGACGTCCAGAGTCATGCCGACCACCGCCTTGTTCGTCGTCTTGCTCACCTTGCGCGTCTGCGGACACAGGTGCCAGAGCGCGGGTCAGCCCAGGGCTGCGGACGGACCCTCCCGCGGGTCCGCTACCGCAAAGGGGACCCCGCGCGCGCGCAGAGGGCGCGGCGCGAAGCGCGCAGCCGCCACGGCGCTCCAGCAGGTGCGGCCTCCAGCCCGGCCTGGGACGACCCGAGCCGCCGTCTGAGCGCTGCCACCCGCGCGTTCGCGCCACCCCTCCTTCCCACCCTCCTCTGCAGCAGCGCCGCCGCCCGGCTCGCCGAGGCCGCGTCCGCCCTCGCCTAGCGCGGCGAGAAGCGAGCGGGGCGCGCGCGCGCCTTCTTGCGCGTCGACTCCTCCATCGTGCCCTTCTTGTGCATCCGGCGGTACAGCTGCGTCCACGCGATCTTGCGCGGGTTCAGGCGCTGCAGAAACTGCGACTTGCTCTTGCGGTTGATGAACTTGAAGCTCTTTTGATCCGCACGCACGTAGAAGATGCCGTGGCCCGGGTAGATCCGCAGGCCGCTGTACGCGCAGACGTCGGTCTTGACGACCTGCGCGCCCAGGTGGGTCCCGCCGTCAGGGACGGCCCTCGCTGGCGGGGCGCGGGTTGTGGCGCGGCGCGCGGAGGAAGCGGAAGGGAGGGTGGGGCTGAGGGGGGCGGTGGAGGATCCGCAGCGATCGACGGCTGCGACCCGCCCTCACGCGTGCGGCGCAGGCAGCCTCACCATTTGCTGCTGCGAAGACGCGAGCCAGCAAAAGAGAAACCGGTGTGAGCCACCTCGGGAGGTGTGCACGGTGGTGGGCTAGCGCTCGCTGTCCGCCGCTAACATACCACGTACGACTGTGGACTGTGAGGTGGAGATTTGGGCTCGGAAGCGAGGGCAGATGCGATTGGCACCCGACTGCGAGAGTCTTTTCCGTGCGTGGCCGTGCCCGTGCGCCGTGCCCGTGGGGGAGGCGGCGGCCGCCGGCTTCAGAGATCAGAGTGCGGGGTGAAGGCGACGACCGACGTGCCGACCGCCGACACCAGCAGCCAAAAGTGCTGCGGCCCAGCGCGGCGAGGCTGAGCATCACAACACAGATCAACACACCTACCTGTATAATGGTTACATATGGAATATATGCGAGCCCCCCCACACTCTTGTCGAAGCCTTGTCTCAGCAAACAGTCAGTCCCGAGTAAGAGAAAATCTGCAAGCCCCAATACACTGCAATTCCTCACCTTCTCTCTGCTCAAATGTTACCCATCTCGCTCGGAAAAGGGACCCACCCCTTTGGATGACGTTGAGCTCGGTCGCGGCACGGCGGCAGTGTCGCCCAGCAGCGGCTGCGGCGGTGAGATGTCCTCAACTTCATCATCGTCGCTTAGCCTCGTCTGCTCGTCGTCGCCTTGCCTCGACGGCATGCTTGACGCTGCCCCCGCTGGCCCCGCCGCCGGCGCAATGGCCGCTCCCACCTCTCCCCCCTCCAGCGCCTCTGGCGACGTCAGATCGGCCTCCTCCTGCTCCCCATCGCCCGACGGCATCTCGGGCGTCTCGGCTGCCCTTGACGCTGGCGCTGCCGGCGGCGGCTCCTCCTCGGTCTTTGGCGACTCAGCCGCCCCCTGCCCGACATCGGCGTGCTCCTCGTCTGCTGCATCCGTTCCGCTCGGGTGAGGATCCGCGTGCTCCTGCCGTGCCTCTTCGAGGGTGGATGGCGCCTCGACTGCGCATGGCGGTTCGGCCCGCCGCTTGGGCGCCTCGTCGCATGCGGCCACCTCGGCCGCCTCCGATGCCAGCAGCTCGGCCTGCTCCTCCTCGGGCGGCAGCAGCGGTGCAAGCGCCTCCCCCAAGCGCTCCCTCAGCGCCCTCTTCTCCACCGTTGTCAGCGGCCTGTACACCTCGTCCACAAAGCATCCCAGGTCGACGATGCGCCGGAAGAGCATCACGGCGGCGTCCGCGCGCCGCGGGAAGGAGAGATGGGAGATGATGCGCCGCGCTTGCGCCGCGCGGTAGTAGTGTGTGGTCGCCGCTGTGCGCAGCATGGTCAGCTTGGTTGGCTCGGAGAGCGCCGGGCTGCTGAAGGAGCGCAAAAAGGAGGTGAGGGCCTCCTCGCGTATCGGATGCGCGCCACCCGGGAGCTTCTTGCCCGAGACGTAGTCAAAGGTGAGCACGCCGCGCTCGGGAATCGGCCAGTCTTGGATGTCCTCCCCGTCGGGGAAGCCGACGGCCCGGCCCTCGTACACGACATTCCGAAAGTTGTCGATGCCGGAGGCCTCGTCCATGCGGTCCGCCTCGAGCAGTCGCTCCAGTACCTCGCGGTCGGGCGGCGCGGCGAGATCGAGCCCGTACGAGCCGGTCGGGTTGAGCGGGTCGAAGATGCCCGTCCCCGACTTGCTCGCCTTGCAGTGCCGCTTGCTCGTGAGCGCGACGGTGAGCGAGTCCTTGAGCCCGAGGTCGCGCACAGAGGTAGTGCGGCCGATGGCCTCGACCAACGCGAGCGCACCCTCCTCGCCGAGCGGGTTGCCGTTGAGCTGAAGGGAGCGGAGCGACGTGTTACTGCCCAGCGACTCGGCGATCGCCACCGCGCCGCTCGTGCCGACGCGATTGGACGACGCGTCTAGGAACTCGAGAGAAGCGTTGACAGACAGAGCTTGGCCGAGCGCCACGGCGCCGCGATCGCCAATCCCGTTCCATGCGAGGCTGAAGCGAGAGAGGGAAGATGTCTGCAGCGCCTCGGCCACCACCACGGCCCCACCTGGGCCGAACGCATTCCACGACACGTCGAGCATCCGCAGCGGCGTCGTTGCGAGCAACAAGTCTGCCAGCGCCGGCGCGGCTGCGTCGCCGAGGCCGTTGTCGCTGAGGTCGAGGCTCTCGAGCTTTGCGGGCGGGCGGATTGCCTGAACGAGCGCCTGCGCGCCTCGATCGCCAACCGCGTTGCCGCGGATGGAGAGGTCGGTCAGCGATACAGCGCCCGCGACGGCGGCGGCTACCGCTTCACAGCCCTTGGCGCCGAGCCGGTTGTGGCCGAGGTCGAGACTGGCGAGCTGTTTCGAGGCGCGGAGGGCCTCGCACAGGCTGGCGATGCACGTACCGCTGCCCGTCCTCCCACCGAGCGCGTTGTCGCTGATGTCGAGCGCGGTGATGTGGCGGTTCTGGAGCAGGCACTCGAACAGGGGTCGGCCGCCCCTCGGGCCGATGCCGCGGTGGGCCAGGAAGACGCTCTCCTGGTCGAGCGTCGCGACGAGCTGCTGCACCGGCACAACGCCCTCGCGCTGACACGCCTCGAGGTACCTCCGCACGCCCGTCGACGCGGCAAAGTCGGGATCGAAGCCGTCCTCGTCCGAGTCGCTAGAATCGGGCTCCGACTGGGCGTCCAGAGGCGCGGAGGCCGGGCGTCGCCCATCTCCCGCCGCGCCTTCGCCGCCGCGCACGCGCGTGGAGCTGGCGATGCCCGACCAAAAGGCGTCCATGTGGATCGCGCCGCGCGTAACGAATGGAAGTGAATGAACGTACGAGTACGCGATCTTAAAAATGTCCACCTTTGGGAATGTACGTAAGAGCCACATACACTGAGAGAGAGAGAGCCATCCTCCCCTCCTCGATCGCCGTGCAAAGCTCGCTTCCGAGCTCTCACGCCGCGCGTAGGGCCCTTAAATAAAGGGGCCTAGAGAACACAACCCCCTTCTCCCTTTTCTCCCAGTAAGCTAAAAGTACGTTCACTGAAAATGATGTGTGAAGCGCCATGGGAGGTATTTTCTTCTCAATTAATATATTGCGTGAATTCAAAAAGGGGAAGTTTTCTTCATTCTTCAACATTTTTTCTTATTGCATGTGTGTACTGATGCCTGTGCTAGTGTGCGCCCAGTCAGTCCACACCCGCCCGTGTCGTGCCCGTGAGAGAGGTGGGTGTCAAATGGATAGAGACTTGGCCTCGTCGTCTTTGCCTCATTGGACATTGCGGGGCCTCGGGCCCTCGCCGAGCTGGGCCGCAGCCAGTGTACCAGAGCAATAAGTACTTTTGTTTGGCTCTAGGTTTGGCTGCTCGGCACGTCGCTCGTCGCCTTCACCCACACTCTGAAGCCGGCCCACGCACTGACGAGGCTCTAGTCGAGACTCTCGCAGTCGGGTGCCAATCGCATCTGCCCTCGCTTCCGAGCCCAAATCTCCACCTCACAGTCCACAGTCGTACGTGGTATGTTAGCGGCGGACAGCGAGCGCTAGCCCACCACCGTGCACACCTCCCGAGGTGGCTCACACCGGTTTCTCTTTTGCTGGCTCGCGTCTTCGCAGCAGCAAATGGTGAGGCTGCCTGCGCCGCACGCGTGAGGGCGGGTCGCAGCCGTCGATCGCTGCGGATCCTCCACCGCCCCCCTCAGCCCCACCCTCCCTTCCGCTTCCTCTCGGCCGCGCCACAACCCGCGCCCTCCCGGGGGGGGGGGGGTCCGAAAGAAACACGCTTCTTCGAAGGAAGTGGAACCATCACCGACTGAAAGGCCGCTGCGTTCAACGCTGCAGCCGCCGCCGCCGCTGCAGCCGCCGCCGCCGCAGCTGCCGCCGCCGCCGCAGCTGCCGCCGGCCGATCAGCCGACGCCGCTGCAGCCGACGCCGCTGCAGCCGACGCCGCTGCAGCAGCCGGCGCCAGCCAGCTCTCCGCCGATGTCCGCTCGCCGCGCGCCGCGGGTCCGACAGGCGCTCGTGCCGGCCGCGGCACGCCTGTCGACGCTGGACTCGTACGCAAATCCGAAGCAGCTCATCCGAGTGGACGGCACGTCGGTGATAGTCCACCTGCTGCTGGGGCTGCAGGTGGCGGGCATCGAGAGGGTCGTCGTCACTCTCGGCAACGCGGCACACAAGCTCCGTGCGGAGCTCGGCCGTCGCTGCTTCGGCTCCATGCGGGTCGAGTTTGTTGTGCTCAAGGAAAGTTCGTGGAAGCGAGGCCATGCGTCAAACATGCTGACCGCGCGGTCCATGTTTGCGCCACACGAGCCCCTCCTCGTCGTCATGTCGGACCACCTCTACGACAGCCGCCTGCTGTGGCGGCTCGCAAACGTGCCCGCGACTGAGGGGACGGTCGCGACGGTCCTCATCGATGACGACCCGGACCTGTGCCGCTGGGCGAGCGAGGAGCACTGCTCGATCCACTGCAAGAACGGCGTACATTGCCACTCGCTCGTCAAGGCGCTCAAGGGCTCCGACGGCCGCGTCGCTCGGATCGGAGGTGCGCTCTCGGCGCCTTCGGCGCTGGACGCGTCCAGGACCATCTCACCATCTCACGCATCCACGTCGCACACGCCAGGCAAGCTCGGCGCCTTCGACGCGCTCGAGGCAGGCGCGTACCTGATCCGGCTGGCGCTCTTCGACGTGCTCAAGAGTCTCCTCGCGCGCGCGCCGTACTGCACGCTGGCCGACGCGATGCAGGAGCTGGCCTCGCAGGCGTGGCTGCTCTCTCGCGCCTCCTCACGGTGCTCCTCTCCTTGCACGTCGCCGCCTCCACCCTCCACTCCCCCGCCTCGCAGGGGCGGCTGCGGTACGAGACAGCGGGCGAGCTCGAGTGGTTTTCCGACCAGACGGTCGCTTCGCTCGCGGCGCCGCTCGGCTCGTTGGCGGTGCGAAAGGAGTGGAGGCTGCGCGCCGCGGCGATGCTCGCCGCCGTCCGGACCAGCGAGTGGAGCGGCGAGGCGAGGGGCGAGGCGAGGAGCGTGCTCGATCTGGGCGACCCCGCAGCCGGCCGGGCAGTGGAGCGTGTCCGAGCCTTCTCGGAGCCTCGTCCTCGCGCCTCCCTGTAGGAGACACCATCGGCGAGGGCGGCACGTCCATCGTCGTGCGCGCCGAGCCGGGGGCCGAGCCGGGGGACAGCGCGGGCAGCAGCTCCGCCGGCGGAGAGAGGGCGGCGGCCGGCGGCGAGCAAGTGGGCTCGCCCGGGCGGATGGGGCTGGCGGAGCACGAGGGGCGAATGGGGCTGGCGGTCAAGGTGATCAAGCGCGGCGGCGGCGGCGGCCGCAGCGGCGGCGGCGGCGGCGGCGGCGCGGGTGGCGGCTGTGCGCCGAGCGAGGCGGAGATCGCGTGGGAGGTGCACGTGCTCACGCAGCTGCGGCACGGGAACGTGGTGCGCGTGGGTGGGAGGGGGTGGAGGGGGAGGGCGATGGCGCGCGCCGCGGACACACGTGATTGACATGGCCGTGCCCGTTCAGGTGCGGGTGGTGGACGTGATTGAGGTGGTCGACGCGCACTACATCGTGATGGAGGAGGTTGGCGGGCCCGAGCTCACCCAGCTGCTGCAGCGCGCGCCCGGGGGCAGGCTGCCGCTCCACACCACCCGGCTCGTCTTTCGCGACCTCCTCGCCGGCTTGCGACACGCGCACGGTCGCGGCTTCGTGCACTGCGACCTCAAGCCCGCAAACGCGCACCCTCTCTGCGCGGCGCGCGGCCGCGGAGAGGGCGTCTCTTCACAGCTGCAGGTGTGAACAGGTGCGCCTCTCCGCGCGGCTCGACCGGGCGGTCCTCACCGACTGGGGCCTCGCGCGCAGCGTCGGAGCGAGGCGAGAGCGGACTCCGCCGGAGGAGGGCTGTGCCCGACGCCTCACCCGCCGCCCTCCCGCCGCCCTCCCGCCGCCCTCCCGCCGCCCTCCCGCCGCCCTCCCGCCGCAGGCCAGAGGAGTGCTGCGTCGGCACACCGGCGTACGCACCTCCGGAGCGGCTGGCCGGCTGCCGCCGCCCCTCTCCCGTGGAGCCCCGAGGTCTCGAGGCCGTCCTGTAGGAGCGGCTGACCGGCTACTGCCGCGATTCGGTCGACGGGCGGCGCGCCCTCGGCCCCGCGAGCGACGTCTGGTCGCTCGGCGTTCTCCTGTGCGAGGGCGTGCGGCGTGCCCTCCCTCCCGTGACCGGCGCCTCTTCACCCGCCGGCGCGTGCGCAGGTACGAGATGGCCTGCGGTGCGCTCCCCTTCCCCTCCGCCTCGCTCGACCAGCTCATCGCTGCGGCCGCCGCCGGACGGTGCCGCGCCGCCGCCCGACACGGAAGAGCGCGGGGAGGTGCGAGCACGGAGTGACTCATTCCCTTCAGGTACGCGCCGCTCCCCCACGGAGTGGCGCGGGAGGTTGTCGAGATTGTCCACGGCACGTTGCACCCGACGACGACCCTCCTCGGTGCCCGGCGCGTGTTGACGCGTCTCACTCTGTGGACAGGCACGCTCTGCGTCTCGCCCGACGACCGCCTCTCCGGCGCGGAGCTGTGGGCTCTGCCGTGGACGGCGCGCGACTCGGGCCATGCCGGTCGGGAGGAGGGGGCGGGGGCGGCGCCACTCATGTGCGGCGAGTGCGACGAGGAGAGCTTGCCGCTGCTCGCCGACCCCTCGCCGACCCGGTGCCGCGGGGGCGGCGGCGCCGGTGCGAGCCGACTGCTCCGCCTGCGGGAGGCTGGCTCCCGGCAGCTCTGTGCGCCAGGGTGGGCAGGCGCGCTGCGAGTCGCGGCGGTCGGCCTCTATGCTGCGATCTGCGTCTTCGCGTTGGCGCGAGGAGCGGTCGAGCGTCATGAGTAAAATCTCCTCTAGCGTGTACGTATTGTGTTACATTGGCGTAAATCGTGTGAGTGTGGAAGAGAGGGGGGCATGGGCGTGCTGCGCTCCGCTTTTCATCAAATGGCTGATCAATGTTCGGCGCTTTAGGCCTTATGTTATCGCGGCGCCCCAGTCGTCACAGTGGCTGTCCACGCGCCATGTTTGCCCTGATGCCGGCTCGACAAAGGCGAGGCTCTTTGCGTGTAGGCAGAGGCGCGTCGCAGCCGGGCCGGAGTATATGTCGTCGCCAAGGATCGGGTGGCCGATGGCCGCCATGTGAGCCCGCAGCTGGTGGAGGCGACCCGTGTGCGGCGTTAGCTCGACGGTGGTGGTGAAACCGGCGGAACCACGGTCGTCGTCATCTCTGCCACTGCCACTGCCACCGGCCCAAGCGCCAGCTCCGTTCGCGTGCCGGCGTGTCACGGTGTACGTGGTGCGACAGGGCAAGCCATCGCGAGCAGGCACCATACGTGTGAGGCCCAACCGGTCTGCGACGGCGCAGCGGGAGAGGGCGAGGCAGACCTCGCCAGAGCCGTCGGGCAGGGCGCCGGCGACGACCGCTTCGTACCGCTTGCTCACGGATCGGTCTCGCCACTGCTGCGACAGCGCCGCGGCGGAGGGCGCGTCGAGTGCCAGCGCGAGGACGCCAGAGGTGGACGCGTCCAGCCGATGGACCAGCCGCGCTTGAGCAAACCCGCCGCTCGCTGCGCGGACGCGGCGTAGGACCGAGTCGACCTCCGTCACGCCGTCCCGCGCGTCCTGTTCCTCGTTTGCGCGGACCAGCGCCTGCCACGCCACCGCCGCCTCGCTCTCGCCAAGCCCAGCGCGGCTGACTGCAAAGCGCACAAACTTGTCGCGCGTCCGCGGCAGAATCGCAGCGTGCGAGCGCAGGCGCGGCGGGAGCTCGAGCAGCGTCGAGGCGGCGGCACACCAGCGCTTTTTCCGGGTGCTTCCGGCGGTGCCGCCCACAAAGGCGGGCGTGGATCTAAGACCGCTCGGCTTGTCGACCACGAGCACCGCGGGTGACTGAGCGAGGACTCGCAGCCCGGCGACTCGAGCAAGCTGCGGCGTGGGTGGCGTCAGCGACGACGAGCCGATTGCCAACCACATGCTCTTGTTGCCCGAGATTGTCTTGGACGGAGTGGCCGAACACCGGCTCCCGCTCGGAACTGGGCAGCGAGACCGAGTCCTCGTCCGAACTGGTCCGAAGAGAGAGCCCCGCCGCACGAACACAACGCACTCTCTGTGGCGTGCCGTCCTCCCCTCCCTCGCTGGGCTGTCGGTTTTCTTTCTTTTCTTTCTACAAGGGATGTTATCCTGTGTCATGTCGGGGAGGACAAGACAGATCCACCGATGGACAGCCTCAGAACTCGAACCCGAGCCGGATCGCTCGCGACACGGGATGGCAGGCACCCCAGACCCGCTCACTCCCCCAGACCCATTCCATCATCTTCCCCGCCTCCTTCTTTCCTTTTCCGCTTGAGAGACGAAGGAAAAAGAAAAATCTCGCACTGTGTGTTGTTCGGGTGTCCATCGGGCCGCCGCTGTCTGGCGGCGAACGATGCCGGTGGTCAGCGTGCTTCAACACGGCTCGAGCCGGAAGCTCGACCTTGTCTTCCCACGGCGCAGGCAGGCAGATAGAGGGAAGCAGCACACGCCGCCAGCAGCACACGACGCCGAGTGCTGGGACTGGGACTGGGATGAGGTGTCTGTCGCCCGCTCCGCCGTCGATCCCGACGGCTTTGGGTTGGTGGTGCGTGAGGGTGGCGCGGTGGACTGGTCGCGCCTCGATCGCCCCGTGCTGCTCCCCTTCGTCGGCCGTGCCACCGAGGTGGAGGACAGCCTCTCGGCGCGAGCGTTGAACTGCATCCTGCACGGGGCCTTTGACGTCGTCCCCTTCTCTGCGCTGCCGTGCGGCTCCGGGTGTCGGTTTGTGCTCAACGGAATCTTCCTCGAGAGCGTGGCTGCCGGCGAGTCGTGCCACCTCAAGACGGCGGCGCTGCCGCCCGAGACGCAGGTGGTGCAGGTGCCGCTCTGCGACCGCACCGAGGGCGGCGGCGGCGTCGTCTCCATCGAGCGCAAAGACCGGGCTGTCGTCTACCTGCTCCAGGCGCACGCCGCAGTGCTGCTGCACATCCCGCCGCACATCTTTGCCGTGCTGCAGTGCCACACCGACCACCATCACGCCGACCGCAGCTTTGCGACGCACGTGCTTGAGTACCGGCGCCACGCCGCGTCCGTGATGATCGTCAACGCGCACCCCGTGTACGGCTGCGCCGCCTACGCCGCCGGCGCAATCAACGAGCCCACCCCCCACGCCCCGCCGACGTTCGAGGTGCGCCAGCTCGCGCTCACCCTCGCCCCGGAGCAGGACGGAGAGGCGCTGCAGCACTGGCGAGCCTTTGCCGCCGCCTTCCCCGACGTGCTCGACTCTGGCAACGCGCCCTTCTTCGTCGCGCTGCACTCGCAGTACGCGCACGGCGACGAGGCGGCCGCTCAGCGCGGCGGCCACCACCCGAGATGACGCGAGATGACGCGAGACGAAGCGAGATAGGTGACCGCTCAGTACAACACCCACTACCTGCGCACGTACGACTCGTGGGGCTACATCGGCACCCCGTCGGCGGTGCGCCTCCCGCCGGACACCTTCGCTCGCGACGATGCGCTCGCCGCCGCGCCGTGGCCCAAGTGCGCGGCTGGCTGGTGGAACCCGTTCGCGCAGCCGCTGGGGAGGGCCGTGTTCGAGCGAGCTGGCGCCCGGCGGGGCGGCGCCTCGGCGCACCCGGGCGTGCGCGGCGGGCCTCCCCTCCTCCCGGGCGGCGGCGGCGGCGCCGTGAGCTGGCGCGGCGTCTGCTTCCTCGTCAAGGAGGACCGGCGCGAGATTGTGGCGGCGCGGCGCCGGCTCAACGAGAAGGGGCAGGGCACCCACCTCCACCGCTCCGGGCCGGTCGTGGCGGGCGGACAGTGGAGAGACGACTTCACCGACTACGAGTGGGAGGTGGGCGGGGTCGGGCGAGGCGACGGGGCTCGAGGCGCCGCCGCGGAGGAGGGCGGCTCGGCGGCATCCCCCTCGGGCGACGCGCGGCGCACCCCCGCGAAGCGAGCCTCCGCGGAGAGCGCGCACGGTGGGAAGAAGCGGCCGCAGCTCAGGAGGCGGGCCGCGCAGGCCGCCACTCCTCCTGCGAAGAGGGGCAGGTCGCAGGCGGTCACTCCTCCTGCGACGACACGGCAGGGAACACGAGCGGCGCGAGCGCTCTTCTCGAAGTAGGATATGTTAAACCTTTTTATGGGTTTCGTACGCGGCTGGCGACGCGGTCGGGGTCTTTATTTATTTATCCCGGGTCTGAACGATTTTTTTCACGGTATCCGCGGCGAGATATGGCGGGATACGCGCGGGATGGCGCAAAAAAATCGTCCAGACCAGGGCTTTATTTGTGTGATTTGTGTCATGTGTGTGATCTCCGACTGGCGACTGCGGCTGGAGTTGCGAGAGAGATTTTTAGCAATACCAAACAACTCTAACACTCACACGTAATTTGGGGCCTGGAGCCCTGTTCACGCGCGCGCGAGACGTGCAGACAGGGTTGCCAGGTGAGAGCGAATGGCGCGGTTCACGCCTCGCACAACAGAGAGAGAGATGCGCTCTGCATGGTGGGACATAAAAGAGAGCGAGTACTTGGGCGAGTAGGCCGTGCGGTCAACGCTGCCGCGCGCGACTTTGCGCGCGAGGCGGCGCAGCTTGAGAACGGCGGTGGGCGAGAAGCCGCCGCCGAACGTTTTGTTGAGTTGCGTGTCTCTCACACATCGCCCTATTCCCGTTGCAATTGCCATGGGCATGTGGGCATGTGGTAATCAAACCACAACAACATCTCAACACTCTAAGGAACACAAAATGAGATTTTGTATCTCGCCTCAAAAGAAGCAGCATTGAATATTATATTTTATTGTTGCATGGGGCTTAAAGCCCGCCGCCGATTCTTTTCTTTTTTAAGGGCTCCAAGACGCTATTCACAGGCGCGGTTGGATGCGTCGGGTGTGAATGGGCATTCTTGCCCTGGAGATCTCCGACGACGGCAAGCCGCGGCGGCGGGTTTTTCCCCCTTTTTTTCGAGCAGTGCGGCGCCTCAGGAAATCCCCCTCGGAGCAATGTGTGTGTGTGTATATGGACCTCGCCGTCTCGGTCCGTCGAGGCGCTGGTGGGCTCGGGCTCATCGTCTCGCCCCAGAACGTCGTGCTCGAACTCACCGCCGGCGGTTCCGCTGCCGAGGACGGCCAGCTTCGCATCGGCGACATTATTCTCTCGGTGGACGGGGTGCCGCTGGCAGGCCGCCGGCTGAGGGAGCTTCTCGTCGAGTTGCCGCGGCTTGCCGTGCACTCTTTCGTCGTGCGGCGCGGCGAGGAGGCGTCGGCGCCGACGCCGCCCACGGAGGGCCTCCCGCCGACAGCGGCGCCGGCGCCGATGTGGGATGACGACGATGGCCCAGCACCCGCGGCTGCCGATCCATTGACGGGCGTGCCGACGGTCTTTCTGGCGCCCACTGGGACGCGCTTCAAGACCTTCCTCGACGTGTCCCGCCTCGAGCGCTGCTCCGAGCTCTGCGCCCTCGCCGCCGCAAAGTGGCAAGAGTGCACGGGCGTGCTGCTCCGAGTGTCTCCGCGTGTCGAGTGCGCGAGCGGCGCCCCCCGCGCAGCAGCAGAACACACACTCTCCCACGCGCAAGTCGCCCCTCGCCCTCCCCCTTGCACAGCCACACACACCCCTCCAGTCCCCACCCTCTGCTTGCCCTCCGCTCGACCCGACGACTTCCTAGCCAACCACCACACCACCGTAACTAACACCACCGTAACTAACACACACCACACACACACACACACACACACACACACACACACACACACACACACACACACACACACACACACACACACACACACACACACACACACACACACACACACACACACACACGCCGCACACGCCGCACACGCCACCCGCCACGACGCCGACCCTCCTCCCCCACACCCGCCAGGTGCCTCCTGCACGGCGACGAGCGACTCCTCCTCACGCCCGACACGCCGCCCGCCGTCCTCCGCCTCGTCCGCCAGATCCGCGTCTCGGCACCCGAGATCACCTGCCCCGCACACCACTCGCAAGCCCCACAAACCACTCGCCGCCCCACAAGCACACGCGAGCCCTCTCTCCGCCCTCTCTACGCCCTTCTCGGAACCTTTCTATCCTCAGGCGGCCGCACAAGATCTCGAGCGGCAGCAAACGGCCGCCGCGGCCGCCGCGCCGCCGCCGCCGCCGCTGCCGTCGCCTCAGCCGCCCGCCTCCTCCTCGCAGCAGACATGGCAGCAGACCCGCCCCCAGCTCGCCTCGCCCGCCGCCCGCCTTGCTCAAGACTCGCGCCGCTGGTCCACCGACGCAGTCGTCCAGACACGCGTCCAGACTCCTCACACGCCCCCCGCCGACGCCGCGCTCGCCCGCGCCTCCGACGCCGCCTCGGCCCCGGCCGCCGACGCCGCGGCCGCCGCCCCTGCCGGCAGCGGCGGCTGGCTCGGCCCCGTCCTCGAGGCGAGATCTAGCCGAGATCTAGCCGAGATAACAGCCGAGATAACGGCCGAGAATGGCAGCCGAGAGACCGCCCTCGAGCTCGGCTCCTCGTGGCCGAGAGACAGCCTCTCTGCAGACAGCCTCTCTGCTCTCGGAAGACCGTCCCCCGCCGCACGGCCCCTTTGGTCGAGAGACAGCACTCAAAAGACCGCCCCCCGCCGCACGGCCCCTTTGGTCGAGAGACAGCACTCTGAAGACCGCCCCCCGCCGCACGGCACGCAGCCTTCCTCTCTCGGGTCGACGGGCCCTCTCTCCAGGAGCCTTCTCGGAACCTTCTCGGAAGCGTCTCCTCTAGGCGGCGAGCAGTGTCCTCTGGGGCGTCACCGGCCACGCCGCGCCGGCCGGCGAGGCGGCCGGCGGGGGCGGGTGGCGCGGCGATGTGCTGCGCGAGGCGGAGCTCGTCGCGGGCAGGCGCGGCCACATGTCCACGCGTGTCCACATGAGTGCTTTGAAGGGGCGAGAGAGGAGGCTGTGAGCACGCGGTCGCTAGCTGCAAGCACGAGTCGCTGGCTGCACAGTCGCCACGCCCCTCTGTGCTGTGCGCCTCTCTCAGCTCCCTCCCCCCCTCCCATACGCGGCGGGCAGGTTCGCCGCGCTCGCCGCCGCCCAAAAGGCGGCGCGGCAGCTGGCGCCGGAGGCGGGCCAGCCGGGCGCACGGACGGCCGGCGGTGAGAGGGGCGGCGAGAGGGGCGGGGAGAGGGGCGGTGAGAGGGTCGGTGAGAGCGAGCCGG